TAATTTTTTGATAAAACTTTTAAGTCTTTTGTCAAAAAATATTTTTCATAACTCAAAATTACAAATTTATAAAAAAAATTGTTTTGATTTCTGCAAATACGTAATTCTGCAAATATTATATGTATCCTACGCATGTATTTTTAAGAAATTGTTTTTCAAATAATTTGTGAATAACTTATTTAGTCATTCCTCAGCCATAATTTAAGAACATTTAAATGAAAACAAAAAATAATTCCCATATTTTATTTTTCACAATTTACAAAAATATTAATAAATTTCATGTAATGCATGAAATATTATTTCATTCACTTGTATACCCCGAGGAGCTGTTAATACCAATATTACAACGTTAGACACATCTTTTACTGTCAAATGTGGATTTTTTTGAAAAAACTCTTCATCTAAGAAACTTATTCCGGCAGTTTTAAAGATGCCCGTGCGTACAATACCTGGTGATATGCTCGATACTTTAATTTTTCGATTAAGCAATTGAAATTCATTCTTCAATAACGTATTTAAGACTGTCATTGTACGCTTCGACGCTATATACATATTGATCTTCGGTTCGGCAAAAGGAGGCATGTAATGACCACAAATGCTGTTGATATTAATAATGTGGCCTAAAACATCCTTTTTCACCATTGAATTTATCGCATATCTTGTACAAGTTATCAGTCCGTAAATGTTTGTGTCCACCACATCAATTAAGTCTTTAATGATCCCTGTGGATATTAATCCTTCCTTTCCTATAGCTGCATTATTTATCAGTACATCAGTACCACCATATGCTGCTACTACACCCTCAAAAGCATTCTTCAGATCTTCTTCTTTAGACACGTCACATTTACATGGTATTAATTGTCCATCAAAGCTGCCCCAACTATTCATTTTATTCAACATTTCTTCTACTTTATCTTCTGTGGGTTCAAAACCAATAACAGTCATTCCAATCTTTACTAGATCTTCAGCAATTTGAGCGCCTATTCCATGTGCAGCACCCGTAATTACTACTACTTTATTCTTTAACTGATCCATATTGAGATACCTCTTTAAAAAAATATGTCAACACCACAGAATTATTCCAGCAAGATTTATAACAATACCACTTGGTATACAGGTGCTTATAAAATCACCATTAGCCTTAGTTAGTGACGACTACGATTAAAAAGAAATAGCCAAATGTTTGAGCTACAGTTCTCTATAAAGTTATAGCTTTATCTGATAAACATAAATTACAGTTTCGCGTGAATAGACAAATTAAATATTACGTTATTAACGTAAGATAAGATGCATTATCTCACTGTTTGTCTCATGTAATATGGTATTCCCATGGTGTGATGGATTCTGGTGATACTTATTATACCTACCTATTTTATGCCTGGTAACTAGTTAAAATTTGATTCCATTAAAAATTTATGACTTATTTCCGGATAATCTTTATTATCTAGAAATAACCCAACCTTTTGATGCGTGATCTCGATAGTTACAAAACACCGTTGTCCCGTATTTTGTACCAACTGTTTTGTAATCATACCTAGTATAGTGAAAAAAATGCAAATAACGAACTTAAACAATAATGTCAGGATTTTTCTTCATTTATATTACTTCCTAACGCCTCATTGTTCATGCTACAATAGAGCTTAAGGCTAAATCTCTGAATCAACGTAAAATAAATTGATCTCCATTTATCGCCATTTTTTGCGCGCTATAGAAATTCGTCCAATCAGTTCGGAGCTCCATTATGACATACGGGTAATATGGGACGAGCGCGAACGTATTACGGCGACGGTGAATTGATGCACTTGGAGGAAATAGAGCGATCTCTCATGGCTGATTGGTTGCGTTTCGTATAGAATGTACTGATATTTATTCATTCTGCTTTTAGATAAAGTTTTAAGTTTAGAGGTGTTGAGATTCGAACCTAATATTTTCCATTAACCTTACATCTTTTACCAATTAAAGTATTATTAATCTTTGCATTTCTATACATATTACTACACGGTTGCATTTAAGTGCAGTGGCCGAGTAATCGTCTGTAGTGCAACGTATTTTGAGATCGAATCCCGCTCGAAACGACTCTATGTTTATCCACACATAGCTGTTGTTGTGTGTGATGTATTTTATTGTGTATCTCCAACGGAGAAAATACAAGTATACTCCCAATCTCAACAGTAGCTAGACTGACTGACTTTGTCTTACAGTACTCGGTATAACTTTCTAAACATCCCTTTTCTACTTTTTTTAAACAGACATTGCTTTTTCGTTACAGTTATTATTGTAAGTACATAAAAAGTAAACAAACAGAACCTACACAGTGTATTGCACGTCACGAAATCCACTCTCATAATAATTTAACAAACATTGAATTCTATTAGCACATTTTTTTTTATAGGCTTCTCAACAATGAGTACACTATACTATATAATTTGTACATTTCAAACTTAATTCTAAGTGCCCCATTACTTATAGAGAAGCACAGCATGCACTATAATATTATGCGCGGGTATTAAAATAATTAATCGATTTTGAATAAATAATACATTATCAGAAAAGTTAAATTGAAGCTGAATTGATTACAAAAAATAAAATCTGAATTAGATACTTAACACACAAAATTAAATTAAAATTAAGTAAAATAGATTAGATAGATTAGATTTTGATGAAAATGATATTATAATATTCAGTCAATTACTATGGAGTTTGAGATCAAACCATAGCATTTTGTATTCAGGTAATTTTGTTCTCTTCAATTTAAAAATGGTGTTCATGTAACTTAAACAAAAGCAGCCAGTGAAATTCAACAATTTGTAGTTCGCTGTTAATTAGTGTTTCCTAGACAAGTTCAGGTTATAGTACATAGTTCAAGTTTCAACACTGATTATATGCGAGGCGCGAAGGGACTTACCGCAAGGACGGGTCAAAACTTGTCTGTACCTGTTTAATTGCTACTCCTCGCCCATTCTCATTACGATTGCTTTTAGCCGTGCGCTCTTTGTAGTTTTAAACGAGCTTTAATGATGATTGCAGACTAACCACTTGAAACGGTCCTAGCTAATTCTGTGTGTTTGTAAAAAGAGTGTTGTCTATCCTGCAAAATTTAGACCAGCAAGTAATATTGAACATTTCTACATACCTAGGTACGAGTCAACAATGACATCCCACCTGTTATATTTAGGTACCTACGTTTTACTAACATTCTATACTGCTACGTTTTGCTTTCAAACTTTGAATAAACTTGTACCTACATTCATAATAAATCAATTGTTTTCTTGTACCTACTATCTTTAATTCAGTAAGTAAATAGCCTGTGCATATAGAGGAAACACCAGTTAATACTTACATTAAAATTACTTTCCTATTTAAACTTTCAAATATCCGTAACACGACGTCTAACGATGTTTTATTCCTTAATATCAACTTTTAATAGTCATCCATTTTGCTAAAATTAATATGCAATTTGCATGTTAATCGGCTGTTGAAAGGAAAATCTTAATTTTAGTCAAGATGAAGTTCTTACGTTGTTAATGAAATTTTCAGGTCGTGCAAATTGTTCCTAATGAATAGGTTCGAGTTAAATAGTTTTGTAATGTTGAATAATTACTGCGCGCTTAGTTTTGTGCCTAGTAAGCAATTAGTAACTAGAAAATATTTATAAGGGAAAGAAAGGTATCTATAATTACATATGTTCGATATTTCATGTATTTGTTTGTTCTTATAACTACTGAGGTAAAGAATAGTTTAGTAGATACGCTAAAAGATTATGTTTTTAAAATAATTTATCATATTCATCATCATCTATCTTACACACAACACATCACCGTCAGCCTGTGAGTGCCCACTGCTGAGCAAAGGCCTCTTCGCACACGGAAAAGGTTTGACCATTAGGAAATCACCACACTTGCTCAAGGCAGATTTCAAACTTATAATTGGAAATTATATGCCCAGGTTTCCTCACAAGATTTTCCTTCGCCGTGTCTAAATAATCATAGAAAGTATATAGATGAATATAGGTACTTACTTATAATTATACTTCTTACATATTATTACTGTAACAGTACGTATGGGGATTTTAAGGCATTACCAGACTAAAGTCACATGGATATAAATCCATAAGAAACTTGTAGAATATGTAGCTCTATGTAATACCATAAAAGGAGCAGTGGGATTAAACTACAACTTCATAAACCTTATATGATCATATTCGCAGAATGGCAGTAAAGCTGATGTTGTTCTACAGCATGGTCACTGGTTTACAAACATTTTGCCGAACAGGATTTATTTGAGCCAGCTTAAACACTTAATTTTTATACAGAACAATAAAAGAAAATTGCATTGTAACAACTATGTTTTATTGAATTAAAGAATTTTAATTAATTTATTGAGACACTCCATTCTCTTTGCATAGACGAGCGACGTGATGGGCGGCTACCGCAGCTCGACGTTGCAAAGTCGCTACATCGTCACCTGTAGCCGGACGCACGCTGAAAGCCTGAAGCCTACAGGTACCAGCTATCATTCTACCTATTACCCTGTCATGATAAGACGTGAAAGCTATATTGTATCTATTTGTATTACAAACGCAAATATAATTATAATGTCTTCGATTTTTTACTAAAGACTAAATTCTTTTAGAAAATGTTTAAAACGTTGAATGCCATAAGGGACAACCTGTGGGCCACGCTAGCGGAGGATTTACCTTCAACTGTTAAATGTCAACAATTAATGATTTAATTCATTTTAATTAAATTAAAGTTACAGTAATTAAAAAAAACTTGTAATACATAAACATATCAAACAATAAATTCGTAAGCAAATAATACTCGAGACATTTTAGGCAACTACTGTTCCGCTAAAACGCCTTTAAATTAAAACCTCGACTATATCAAACTGTGCTTATAAACTTTTTTTTAAATTTAAGTTGCAATCTATGTCGTGTTGCATTTTTTTTAATCGAAAAGTTCTCGACAAATTAAATTATTTAAAAATAAATGTTACCTTACAGTAGAAGGAACTTTTAACTCTGGTAACATGAAATCGATTTCGTAATAAACGACTTGCATTGCTGGTCCATTGTCATCCCTTATGACGAGGTTTTTAGCGCAAGACTCTCCGGGTCTTATACTAACACATTTGGCTGAAAAAGATAAGTTATGTGAATAATCGACAAAGAAAAACAGCTAAATACGCTAATTATGATGATTAGGAGCTAATTATAATACGAGTATTTGGAGCCTATGCCTATAGGTCGGTAGATACTAGATAAACAATAAGAAGAATGACATTTATTTTTGATGTCGACTAACATTTTCGATTAACGCAAGTATTGTTTTGTTATACAACAAAATAAATATACGAGCTTAATATTTTTCACTATCACACAGACTAAATAGATTTTAATTTTCATTCCCTATACTAACCCCTGTTTACTACAGTCACAAAATAATTAAAAGTAACATAATCGCAATAAATATAACTTACCAATGATCTCATAAAATACAAAAACGCCGATGTCTTGTAAGGCCTTGTGCCATTTAAGCACCTTCTCCACTGGACCGGAAAACGCTCTCGGACCGCTTTTCTGAAGCGCCTGAATGCGACCATTCAATATTATAGCATCGCCACATACTTGTGATGGTTACACTTGTAGGTCTAGTAAGTGAGTTCCTATTACGGAATTATACAGTTGATAAAATAGACTAAGCGAATTTGATGTTTCAATACCTGATATGACGTTACTCGTACTTATGTTTTTTTTTTTAAATGATACGGCTGCTAACGAGCTGAAATATTACCTGATGGTAACTAATCGGCGCTGCTCATGGACATTCCGGGGAGTATCGGTCTTTTGGGGATTGGGATTTGAAAATTTTGGAATTGGGGAGAGATTGAACCTCACTGATACGGCGAAACGAAACTTTGTTTCATGTAGTAGGTACTTATGTTTTTTTGAGGACGTTTTATTATTGATTGATTGATTAATAATTAATTTTGAGATGTTTTCTTTAGATTCTAAATATACGAAAGTAAAAATCTGTAGGTACCAAAATCTTAAATGTTTGCACCAGATTGGATTGGTAAAAAAAGTACATATATGTATTACCTGATCACAGTCAGGTAATTAATCCGAGTAAAATAAGGATTAAGGGATAGGGTGTTAAATAACTTAATAGAAAAAAAAACAAATGCTATAAATCCAGAATCTATTTACTATTAAACTACCTATGGGGAAAATAGAAATGGCAGTAGTTCAGGAAATGACAGACCGTACTTATCTCACTTAGAAGCTAAATCGAACGGCCTACAGTGATGTTCAAGAAATCGTTTTACTTTTTTTCAGCGACAAAGGCACGGATATTGCATCGGCCGAGCGCACCGGCACTCTTCCGCAAAGAACTTCACTGTATTTACTTACATAGAACAGAGAGTGTTCACCGAAATTGACGTAAAAAACCTTAAGCTAAAGACTAAACTAAACCACTCCTATATATTTTAATGTGTATAAAATTCGAATAAACTTTACATCAAAAGACAAAATTCTGTCTTATAAAATTGTAAAGTGGACACAGGAGAGAAATGATTGCCCTTACTATTATTTCTAGCGTTTTTTAATATTATTTCATGTGTCGTTTGTTTAAGGTTTTTGAGAGGGGCCTTCTGTCAGACTTGAGGCGGCGTTTTGATATGGGTTTACGTTGAGAACGGTTGCAGGTGTAATTAAACTAATTGTGTTGGGGTTTCCTTGTGTAAGTTGTTGACAAGAATGTGTATGTATCATAGCAAACATAAATATGGGTTCCGGATGTTCCAAAAAGGTAAGGTAAATCATTTATGTGTTTGTAATCGTGATGTAAACCTAAGATGTGTATAAGAATTTATAACTATTCACTCCCTCGCCTTTTCAACCACTGCTCGGCTCTTCCAACGTAGCGCATGGTTCGATAAATAGATGATCACAAAAAAAAATCCGATTTCAACGAGGTGTCCAGGACATTCTTCGACATATTAATGCTATTAAAAAGACTCACACATAAATTTTTACTCTTAAATCCGAAGCTAAAATGCTGTTATTATACTCTTCAAGCTAAAAGATATTCCGACTTTATATGATTGATATAACGTGACTTTGTATGAAACATAAAGTTCTGTAATCCAAGTGTTGTATGTGAATTATAAATGCGAGATTAAATATAAGTTTGGGTGGAATGGATAATGCACTCATGGGAAGGTATATAAATATGTACTTAGTGTAAGTGTTAATTTAGCCGAGTGTTGGTTAAAAGGGGCGATGATAACTGTAGGTAGGTACTACTCAAGTATAACATACTAAAATTATGAAAATTTGTGGATCTCCAAGGGATCCTTTGCCTAGATTATTCCTTTGAAGTTTGAAGGATCAAAAGTTAAGTACTACGAGTAACTATGTACCTACTATGAAATACGGATATTTGGAAGGATATGGTTACAAACAAATTGGTAATAAGTTAATAATGTAACACAATCGTAAACTAAGTCCCTACATTCGTGTACTTGCTACTATATTTATACTTACTCACCTTCAATCTGTCCATTTTTGTAACTAGCATATTCTGCGGTTCTTTTTTGGTGACTTCAATCCCGTCTGCAGATTTTTTGGGTGCTGCAACTTAGAAATTTATAATATACACATGTTGGCTAGAAATAAAATGTTTACAGTTTTGATCGTAAAGGAAATACTATGATTTCATGGCTCTATAAATGTGTATATATACGCCTGTAATTATATCACGTTCTTACGGTGATAGGGAGACTTTTTGAGCTCACAACCCATTGGGGGCACAACTTGAAACGCGTATCCTGCCAAGTATCGCGAAGTTTCCCTTTAGAACTTTACTTCTCTCGAAAATACAGAGTAATGAGCTTGTTAGACCGAGTTACGGGGCTTTAGCACAGGTCGACCAAGAATACTTTTATGTTTGACAGCGCACAATTTGTGGGCTCTTACTTTATGAGCATGTTTTGTTTGAAGTTGAGTGCTGTTGATATTGGACTTGTTCAATTCAGATTTGCTCATTTAAATACCACGAACTAGTTAGAGCTACAAGCTCCCAAAAAAGTAAAGAAACGGGGACTTTATTCATCTATGACAAAAATGTACACAAGTAAGAGAGTATTAACTTATCAGGAAGTACCGCGTAAGTTGTGTTTATTTTAACTTTATTTGAAAGACAACGAATGAGACTAAGAATCTCTTACCATTGATTGTGTTAGGTTGTGTCCGTGAGTGTTGCTGGTTTTCAAAAGATGTTTTCGAATTTCCTTCCAAAGATGTCTTACTTTTTGATGTTTCTGTATGAGGTGCTGTAGAATACGACATAAAAATGGAGTTTAAAAAATGTATGATTTTGGTTGCCTTAATTTTTTCTGGTAAAAGTTTAATAAAGTGTTTAAATATAGCAACTGCTTTAAACTTTCCACCACCCCACCCAACACCCAACGTTACTAAAACACAAGGACTTTCAGCTTCGACATGTTTAAGTACCTATATCAGTCATACTTATCTGGTTTCCGGAAATTTATATTTTCCACGTCGAATTCTACTTCGACGAATTATCCTTTTTGCATGTCAATAGACTTATAAAATGATTATCTCGGTATAGTTTCAGAATACTTATAAACTACTTGTAAGTACTGTTAGATAATCAAGTCGATAAACCTGGAACTTAAAAATGATATGTAGGTCAGTGACTCACCACTATTATTATGTGTTAAGACCTGAGGAACGAAAGTTTTAACTTTGTTCCTATCAGCTCCTCCAAAGTTGGAGTTTAAGTAATTAGCTCCTAATCCGGTGTCTAGGGGTGCTGCGCTTGGTTCTACTTGCATCTGTTGACCTATAAACAGTACATTGTATTTCCTATACAACTAGAATTCAAACTATACTACTAAACTAACTACTAAACTAACTATGTAGATAAAAAGCTATTAACAGAACTAGACGTAGTTTTTTTACGATTAAAGGAAGAGTTCAAGTTGAAGGTAGTGAGGAAAACTAACCTATTTATTATATAGATACGGGCTCCAGATATACTGGTATACTGGGTCTACCCAAAAACGTTAGAAATTCTGAAGACTAACTGGCAACAGCATAACAATAATATCGAATGTTAGGTTTTACACTTAACTTTTTATGTCACCGAAATGTAATTAGCAAATGAGCTGTTGGATATCCTGATGTAATGCTTCACATAGATACACATACCTTCTTACATACACATAAGGAATGTGAAAAGTGTGTGTCCAAACTTTGGACACGGTAATACAAGACGAGTTTTTTTATGGCATAGATCGGCAAACAAGCAGAAGGATTCCCTGATGGTAAGAAATCGGCGCCGCATATAGGCACTTGCAATACGAAAGGAGATACACTACAAGTGCGTTGTCGGCCTCTAATCGGTTATTAGGGGTTTAAGGTGTGGGGATTTGAGGATTGAGGATGGGATGGGATGGATTGGGTCTTTGGTAACCTCACTCATACGGCGAAACAACGTAAGTGTTGCTTCACGCTGGTATTCTGTGAGCCCGTGGTATCATTTCGGTCGAGCCGGCCCATTCGTACCAAACCATGGCTCTCCCACACTTGCTATATAGACGCATACACAGTACAGTGCATTGGCAGCTTTTCGGTAATTTGTGATGACGAGATTGCGGTTTATGATACAATCCATTACGTAGGTAATTGTTATATAACAACCTACCTTAAAATATGATACTTAAGCGTCTATTATAAAGTTTTCAAGGTACTTAATAAGTCCCTAATCATAAAATCTAAGTACCAATTTAAACCCTCATAACGATCTGATTGCGTGCCAAGTACTTTAGATTATCAGCAGTCGCTATAAATCAGACATGAAAACATCTTAGCACAGATTGATGAAAGGTAATTGTATGTTTCTGAGAATAACTAAATACGAAACTATAGTAAAAGTATCTTTTACAAAATATATTTATTTAATTTCGATGTAAGTATTTATCTACATGGATACGCCAACCCCATCGTACCCTCTTAGCTTTAATTACATTAACTAAAGTAATTAAATTGAATGGGAGAGACTCATCGATTGGGTGTCTTTGCTAACATACTAGCCTTTTTACTATCTGAGGTATCTTAAGCGACGTAAATGTGTCCTCATGTATACACATTTTCTAAACCTAGTGACGTAACAGATTACCTGATGATAAGCAATCAGCGCCGCCCATGGATACTCGCAACAATGGAGGAGTTACAAGTGCGTTGCCGACCATTTTGTAATTATACAAATTTGGAGGTTTTGGGATTGGGGAAGAGGAAGGTTTATGTTATAACAACATCCATTAAAAGTGGCAAAAATTAGTATCAGCTTTGCAGTTTGCACACGTGCGAAGCCGGAGCGGGTCGCTAGGAAAATATAAGCCTGAAATTATTTACATTGAGACTTTCTCCGTGTGAGAAGAATTTCTTTATCCTACAGACTCGCAGGAAGACTTTACAGGTTAATATCGATTAACATAAAATTCTTACCTGTAACTATGTATTGAGCACGGTTGTCAGAATAGTTCGCTAAGTAACGAGGATCAATTCCTGTCACCATTTGAGGTTGACCAGGACCCATCTAAAGGGGTAAAAATATATTTAATCTGGGTATGACGACCATCGTATCCTGCTACAGTACAGTATAGTACACTAATGAATATGATGAAACAATGAATGTCTGGTCGGTAAAGCAATAAAATGATGATTGTGATAATGAGACAGGAATTAGTAGGTAAATATCCACACGGGTAAAGCCGTGAGTAAAAGCCTAACAAAATAACTGATACAGATATAAGTACGTACATTCATTTGTCCAAAAGCTGGCGAGTTCATTGCATTTACATCAACATAACTCAGGTTTGGCGCATTTGGTATGTTGGTGTATTGATGACCATACCCACTCGAAGAATAGAAAACATTTTCTTGTGGTCTAAAAAATTTAAATTATTATGAGAAAGAACGGTTACTTCTGCTGGGGCGTGAACACGTGCTCCACCAATTTTTTCAGAGTATTACTGTTGAGAAGAGACTAGGTAAAGTTTATCTTGCTCTGCACCATGGCCTCGACTAAGTAAAGGCCGAACGACGCTAATCACTTCCTTGAGCAAACGGGGTTGCTCAGCCCAGGGCCTTCCACCACCGTGTCCTCCGAGTGAATTATGAGTGTTAATGCCTAATTTAACGCGGATCCTACCAAAAGTTCAGGCGGCTAGTTGCGGGTTTGTGACCCGCTTACATATATTACTTAATGACTTTTTAAAATTCTTAACTATCATACATCACTATCAATAATAATTAATACAAGTTATTAATTATCATTTCAGTTTAAATAAAACACTGGTCAGAATTTACTGGATAAAAGGTCCTGACCTGAACCTGACCTGCTTACTTACTATTAGGAAATTATGTATATTAACTTTTAATTGCAAATTGTTTGTACTTACAGCAAATTGTTTCTCCCTGCATTCATTGGAAAAGGCATCATTTGATTTCCCTGCGGATAATCTGTAAAGGTTGAAACTTGATACCGTTGTTATTTCAAAATAAAACCGTCTCTTAATCTTGGAGCGGTAAATTGTATCTATCTAATTAAAATTACCAAATTATATATGTAACTTACCTGCTGCAACTCTTGGCTCTCTAATAACGTATCGATCCATTTTTATCTGCTACTAGTATTTTTATGAACTAAATAGAAATACGCAATGAGATAAATAATTAATTGAGCTTTTAAAGTTTTCAAAACTTTAATTGGCGCCAAATTTATGGGTTACCGATGGATGGCGTTATGGTTTTTTTTCATTTGTCATTAATTTGGAATATTTGAATATTCGATATGTTTTTTTTATTGTTTCGACTTTGTATCCAGTCAGTGCTAAATAACACCAAAAGAGGTTTCATGAGCGAACAATAAACAGGTTATTCAGTTGTTGTTTTTTTAGTATACTATTTGCTCATAGTCATCAGTTATTAAATCATATACACATATTTTTAAGAAATTTAATATTTGTAGATTACATTTTATTTTCAAAATGTTTTACATTTTGATAAAGTTTGTTGAAGTGTTACTAACTTCGTAAACCAACATCAACTATTTTGACGTATTCTTTGGCAAATGACAGGTGACTTGAAGTGACAAATGACATGTCTAGTTCTTGTTGTCGAATTCGTATGAATCACTGTCCGTTTTGTGTATTATTTAGGAAATAAAATAGTTAATAGTGATTCAAACATCATGGAGCTTCAAGATACATATTACAATAAGTCGGAATATGTAGAAACTGTAAGCGACTTAGTTAATAAATATGTTTCTTTGAACATATTTTATATAAAAATTTCAATTATAAAATTGTTTTAACATTTCGCAGGCTTCGGGTAATAAAGTAAGCAGACAAACGGTACTTTGTGGATCTCAAAACATAGTTCTACATGGGAAAGTAATAGTTCAAAGTGATGCCATTATCAGAGGAGACTTAGCGAATGTTAAAACTGGCAGGTTTTGTATTATAAGCAAAGGCTCTGTAATTAGACCTCCTTTCAAGAAATTTAGTAAGGGGTAAGTTACACCACTAAATAAAACAACAATGTAAATTTTGTACTTCGTAAAATGTGACTTAAAACTTTTTAATTCAATGCCTCTTATTAGACCAGACACCCATGTTTTGTTAATAACTTTATACCTTCGAGAAGTAACGTCCCTAGACAGTATAATAGTTAAAAATGAATGTACAAAATGATAGTACAATAACAATGATGTTATATTAATTTAAAATCTTATATAATGTTTCCTTTTTTCAGGGTTGCCTTCTTTCCTTTGCAAATGGGGGATCATGTGTTTGTTGGAGAGAACACAGTTGTGAATGCTGCAGTTGTTGGATCCTATGTTTATATAGGAAAGAATGTTGTTATTGTAAGTATTTATTTAGTAAACAACTGTGTTGTAAACTGTTATTGATACAGATCTTTTATAATTTTCATCTTGTAGAGTAAAAATATGAGAAAACTGTTTTATGGATAGTTATCTTCAACAGTATTTGATTGGTAATAAGACTTATGCTAACTTGGCACAAAAAATTTAATCAGCCAAAAATTGTATAACACACATACAAGGTTAAGAGCACAATTAACTTAGCGGCTGGGCAATCGGCTGCTAGGCAAATTTTATTTCTGCATGGAACAATTCTGTTCGCAAGAAATTTAACATAGACATAGTGTGAAATTATACATAGACTAATTCTAGCTAGATACTGAATTTGAAGCCACTGGCAAAACTAATAAATTAGTTTTATCCTAGCAATGATTTTTACATTGCGGATTCCTAAAACATTTACATAAATTTTGCAGGGTCGAAGATGTGTGCTAAAAGACTGCTGTATGATTGAAGACAACTCTGTGCTTCCTGCCGAGACTGTTGTGCCCTCATTTGCAAGATACTCTGGTAGTCCAGCCCGCCTCATCACTACACTGCCAGAAGCAATGCCAGATCTCATGACAGAATTCACCAAGAGTTATTATCAGCATTTTCTACCAACCACTGTACAATAACTTGTATTATCAATCATAAAAAGACAATTATTTATTTTTATTTCTGTTATAGTTTTTTTAATATAACTTTATAATGCTGCTTGGCAAAATAATTCTGTAGTTTTAAGAATATATTATAAGGCTTGATTAAATTTATGATATTTTATTGTAGCTATATCAATTTGCAACCTTGACTTTTTTGTTTCTCTTTCATAAGTATTCTTCCTAGCCTAATTTTTTCAGAACAGCAGAACTATGTGAAGCACCATAAACTCCTTACTCCTCCACGTGCCTCACGCAAACGAGCAGATAGAGCACCTGAACGCTCTGCTCTTTTTGAGTCTGTCGATCTGTTCCTTAGAGTCCTTAGACTACAGAAAAGTCCATGGTCTGTCCTCTATTGAAGCTATTTGCTGAACCAAAAGTGTATATTTCACGTTTCCAATAAGCTTCACAATTGAAAAATTATGAAAAAGTCAGAAATAAAGGGCTTGCACTAGGCATGCTAATGGTGAACGTCGCCACATTGTCAGACGAGTTACGAGTGCGTTGCCGACCATAGCGTTAGCTGTTACATACTCTTTGTTGCCGACTTTAGAGGCTGGAGATAGAACCCCGCCACGCCACTATATAGACACGCCATTTTCCCATGAAGCCCTCACGGATTACTATGATCGGGTCCTTTCGTTCTGTTAAGTACCTACATTCAATAACCACCTCAGCCTGCAAAGCAATTACCGAAGAATTGTCCAAAATTAATAATATTGATAGAAAGCCGGGTGGTTCCTATTTCCTATCTTATATCTATAGATATTAGTTATGTGACACTACCACATAAGTACACAAAACATAATAATATAATACTCTAAAGGGCAAATTGTGCCCTAGGTATGTAATACATCTACTTACACCACCTTGGAAATTAATTTAAAAACAAAGACATAAATAGGTACTCAAATATCACCTCACCCAATAGCCATTGTGAACAGTGAAATAAGTGTAAAGTATTAACAAGGTAATAATATCTACAAGTATTTCAACTTCATAGAAACGGCCGAAACGCGAACTATACCTACGCGCCCGATGTCGGGACGCGCTCGGGACGCAGACAGACGCGGCTGTACCGCAGTGACGAACGGTGTGTGTTGTCTTTTATTTAGAAATCAGCTCGAGTACATTATTTAATATGACGAATAGGAAATATTGTGCTGTTATTATGTTTGGTTGCATGAATTCGTCAATAACGCATCCAGACATAAGTTTTATTTAAATTACATGGAAACTCTGAAAGGTAAGACTATAAAATAATTTTACTTACTAGTAGCCTAGGTAGGTACATAATGTGTGTCTTTATGGATCATTATTTCCAGTTATCTCACGAAAACACATGTTTAAATTTATAAATAATATGAATAAAGTTATTGAGACGAGTGAAATAGGTAGTTAAAGGCGGTTCTGGTTCTGAATGAATCATGATACGTTAGGTACCTACCTACTTACGCTTGTGTTAAAACGGTTCATGTATGTTTTGTTAGTTTGTATAATTCAAAGTAGAGAGTGTGGTATTTTATTATTAATAATATTTGTTTATTATCTGCGTTTATGAATAATACTAGAAAATATTTAATAACAACAATAAAACAGCTAGACTCATGTAATATTTTGATGTTTGAGGGTTGTGATTTTAGAACATTCGTAGTCAGCTGTTCAGTTCGGCCAAAGAAATTTTGTTTGTTTATTTTTAAGCACTTTATTTGTTTATATAAAAAAAGGATATTTACAATCACAAAACTAAATGGAAACAGAAAGTAGACAAAGGTAATTAAAATACTGGAGACGAGCAGCCCTAACGCATGTTTACGTACCGCGCGGCTGTAGGTATTTATTTCTTTCAAGCGGCCGAGTTACAATACTGTATGATATTTATACTGTGGTATTAAGCCGCATAATACTTTAACATTTAAAAATATAACCGGAGCAGATTAAACATGGTTACAGCATTGCTAAAATGTACTCTGTGGCTCTAATGGTGGTAAGGGCTCTAGAGACAGGAACTTAATTACGGTGAAACTGGATGAATAGAATTTGAGGGGTGAATAGACACAGAATGGGGGGGGGGGAGTTAATAGATACTAGGAAAATTCGCCAATATCTATTCACAACTTTTGTGTATTTATTTACCCCTCAAATTCTATTCACCCTGTTTTATTTATAATGTGTAAGTAACGGCTTACTTACTTAACTCATTGCCTAGGAACTCGACTAATTTCAAGCCACTCTAGGGTCTTTCAAAGCATGAGGCAAGACGTCGCCGTCGCGCTTAGACCAAAGAAAAATACCTCCATGCGTCTACCTGTGCTTGCTTGTATACTATGGGACATAATGGGCTAGTCTCGCCCTTGATGCAGCCAGGATTATTGTCCTGGTTATTTTTATCCAATTTTTAGGCAGATACTTCACCTAGTCACAATTTTGTAAATTTCGATAAATTACACTATAAAGATGTTGCTTAGTAATTTTATAATAAACATTTTCAATAGGTACCTTATTTTATTTATCATCCTAGAGTGCTAGACACAAGTTATTAAAAGTGGATCACTTCTGCGTAGAACGAAACGTAGATACAGTTTGATGTAAGGTTTGATGACAAGACGCGAGTTCATTTTGTTTTCCAACAAAGAAATTGTAATTTCTCTGTGACTCTTATTTCTAACAAATGAAAGGCAAGTTTCCTCAATTCAGATACAGTGTCAACACAACTTTTATGTTGAGTAAATTGAAAATATTTCTGATTGCAGTCGTCGAACCCACGGAAGACTTTGTTTTATTTTAAATTAAAATCTTATTAATTGTAGGTTTTGAGTTAAATTCGTCACTATAGATGTTGTGAAATAAAAGAAGTGAAACAAAATTAGCATGGAATATCATTATTCCGATCTTTGTATGCCGACGGATCATCTGCTAACTGGTGCGTAATGTTTTTCATTAATAATCTCTAGTCTAATAACACAATTATTATGTGTATTGGCTTCTTTGGTTACTTAAACTCATATTTGTATATTAATGTCAGATAAATGTTTTGTTTTGACTTTTTCCACATGAATAAGCATTCATTTAACATGAAAAAAAAAACATAAGTCAACTGCAAACCAGATATAAGTGAATATAATATAGAAAGTTCATTATTTTCAAGTGGTATTAAATTGTATTAGTAATCTAAAATGTTTTGTGAAACTACAACTAAACATTTAGTTCCTGTTTCAGCACTTTCATATAAGTTCCCAATAAACTTAAATGCCACATAGTTCATTCAAATTGTGTTCTATATTTGAATTTATCTGGAACCTACATAGTATTGAGACAATAGTTAGATTTTTGAAATGCCATAAATCACTCTCTAAAAACTCCAATATTTCTCTCTCACAGATAGAGTTCTCAAAAAAATATCTTAATATCCTTCATCAGAAATAACATAATTTATTTTACATCAGAGTAAAGAAGTCAGTTAAAAATTAAGTGTACTTACTTATGTTTAAAACCAACTCTTTTAGTAATTTTATGACATGTAATATTATAAACTTGTATTTTCCTTATGTTCCACCGGATTCTTTATCATTTACTAGATAAGCAAATGATATTAGTATAAGGAACTGGTAAAATACATGTACTAGTTATCTACTTTCACTTTACATTGACTAAACATTTACCTACTTAGACAGGACCCATGGTTATTTCATGTGTTTGTCATCAAGCTCATTTTAAGTTCTTTTCTGAAAATTTTCATAAGAAACCTTGAATAAATCATGCAAAGGCAAATAAACTACACGCACTAATCTTTCAACGCCTTGTTCATTGACCCCAATAAAGCTACACAATTTATCTACAAATGTTATAAGGAAAATAGTAATTTAATGTTATGAATGTTTTTGTTGCTAATGTCATAAAGCAAACTTATATACACTACACATAGCTTGGGTTTCTCAATAACTGCTCTTTTTAATTTTATTACAATTCCTACAATAAAAATACTAATACAAATTGTATCAGCACACTATATTCTTTTTCTTACTATCATGAGACATACTGAATTCTAATTATTCATCAAAAATAATGACCTACTGGAAAGAGATTACTTTACTTTCAAGTCACAGTATTAGGTAGTATTCATATCCCAACCATTAGATGAAGTAGCGGCCAGAGTACCATTGAGACTTCGAGAGCTTATCTCAAGACTCCACAATTGGGGTACTCCACAATTTAGGTAGTCTGCAATAGGTAGACAATGTAGGCACAGGTTTTGTTAATTTTATTTAATAACAAATAAAATACTATTCAAAATGAGGTTCATCCAACAGATTGGGTTTGAAACTGCTTTTCAGATTGCATTTTTTTATTTTTTATTATAGTTGCTAAGATTATTATGTTTAGTTAACTTTCTACTGTAATAGACTATAATACATAGCAGTCTGTTACCTTAGCTCTAGTTTTCTGTATAACTTCTTGAAATAAATATTTAATATTGCTTTCTAGGTCCATATGCTGCAGAATATGCTCCACAATACTTGGTACCTAAGCAATCAGCAGAATATGAAGTTCGGTCAAGTGTGCTGGTGGATGGAGGAGACAGATTCGGGGTATCCGCAGTTGTGTTTGACAAGTTTGAAGAGCTGATATGGATGGGGAACCAGGGAGTAAGTAAATAGTAATATGATTCAATTCAATTATGTATAGACTGCAACATCTCGCAGTTGGGAGGCCCGCACGAATCGAAAAAAAAACCGGGTCTGGGTGTGATGTGTTATGAAATCGTGTGTGTGTGTTTGTAAACATACCCACGATAAAGGAGAAAATCTAAGTAAAGGGCAAATTTTCTTTAAAAGTTAAAATAATTTTCATCCATGCAAAGATTGTTTTTTTTTATTTAAATTATACTTTTAAACAAAAAGAACAACATCTTATTTCTTGAAAGTATACTTGAATTAACTCTTTATTTCACCACTTTCATTGTTATTAATTTTCCGAAAATCAGTGTCAATAATTGATACATCGTGAAGCACGCCTTTAATGATCATCAATAATGTTTGTAGGGTCATGTAACATCATACTATGGACCGGGAATGCAAAAATACACATCTTTCCAAGTACATGAATCGGAAGAAGTGAGAGATATCATAACTGTTGAACAAGGTATTTTCGCACTCACAAAAACAACTTTAAGACATCAAATACGAAGAGGAATTCCGAAACGAACTTTCAAGTAAGTTTTAGTACTCATTAAAAGAAGCTTCTTCCTGTGCTTTCTTAGCCCTTGTGCTCTTTTGAGAGACGATCTCCGGCCACCGTAATCGCAAGACGGCGAGTAAGGGTAGCTCGTCGCCCGACCAGAATCAGACCCCAGCGCACGACGCGTAGCGTTCCGTGTTCGCTTCAAAGAGCCAGTGTTGGTCACCACAGAAGGGGCAGATAGGGCAGATGTGCAGATGTTTCACCGTGACCTCGGTTTTTAGTAAGTAAGAGTCTGACACTTCCTCGCCCCTGGGTGGGAGAAGTCATTTGATGATTTTCGTCTCACAAAAAAAGCCCTTATGATATTTGTGCTGTTACAAATTTCATTCGATTCCATTCAGTAGTTTTTGCGCCTACGAATAACAAACATACATACATATAGTGTCGCCAACTTTCGCGTTTAGAGTGTTAGTACCACTTCTTTGTCAAAATTGATTTACATTTTTGTTTCTAGATCTCCCAATATGACAGATATGCAATGCCTCTTCCAAGTGAGTGCTACTAAACTGTTGATGGGGGGACATCAGAACAAATTAATCGATCTAGATCTCAATAGGATGAGTGAAACCGCTATTGTAAGTAATCAGAGCTACAATTTTTTTTCTTATCTGACAGTAATTTTTATTCATCAGATTCTACGTTAATTGCCCTCAAAAATCAAAAGTAATAATTGTGGGAGAGCAATACTTCGGTACACATGGGTCGAGTCGACCAGATTGATTCCACGGCACGAAAATCGGCGTTAAACCACGGCCCCAATCCTTCTTCCCCTCCCTCAACCCCCAAATCTCCGAAATCCTTATCACCAGAGCCGGCAACGCACTCGCAACTACTCTGGACTCTGGTGTTGCGAGTGTTCATGGGCGGCGCCGATTGCTTTCCACCAGATAATCCGTCTGCTCGTTTGCCGTCCTCAGTATTCCCAACGATTTGTTTGTTGTACTTATTACTTTTAACATGTTTCAGCCAATCCAAGAGGAAGGTTGTGCAGTTCTTCGTAGCGGGGGTGGTTCCTTAGTGGCTTGTGGTAGTGCCAATGGGATGGTCGCCTTACGGGACATTAGGACCCCGACCACAGCTGAACATACTTTCAGAGCACACTCTGCATGCCTCTCAGACTTAGATATGCAAGGAGATTTACTTATTACTTGTGGATTTACGCAATCGTATGTATTTTCAAGTTTTTCCGCAGTTAGTAGTCATGATATTCTAGGTTCTATTGTTTTACTTTAAATCGTTAAAATCTATTCAGATTTATTTCCGCGTTGGACTGGCACGTAAATCTTGTTATCGATGTCGACGATATGGCGTACGTGCCTATTGCCTTTTTAAGTATTTCAAATTATAAAATATTTCATTGTGGACGTGTCATATTAAAAATAATATTTTTATTGTGTAATGTAATTGGGTGGTTTTCAATCGTAGTTTTCGATCGAAAAGAAATTATTTCAACTAATAACACAATAAAAAACTTAAAAAGAACCACATTAATTAATTTTCGTAATTCTTTAAATACTTAACTCAAAAGATTTGACTATGCTATTTGACATAAAAATGTATCACGACAAAATTAAAAGAAAAGATGACAATTTGGACATTTCGAAAAAAGGATTGTATTTTGACTAGGCAAACTACCTTATTAATTATTCCGTGTTTTAATGTTTCAAATAATTCTATCCCCAACGAATATTTATTGATTTTCCTGGCCTCCCTATAGACTATCTAAAATAAATGTCTGTATTTTAGCGTTGGTATGGCGGTAGCAGAGCCCTACGTGTTAGTATGGGATGTTCGATGCTTACGTGGCAACAGTAAGCCGGGTGAAGGTGCGTGGTCATTGCCGACAGTGTCCCCGCCATTGTTACTACACTTCCTACCAGCGTTCTCTGGCAGAGCGGTCGCTTTGTCCGGCGACGGCCATGTCGCTTTGTTGCATGTCAACGCGCCTAATGCCGCCGAGCATTCTATGTTCCAGGTGAGTTGTAGCTGAAACGTAACGATATTGTAACGATATTCAAATTGGAAAGTGTCCTGGTGGCTTGGAGGTTACAGGACCCGCTGCTCATGCATGAGGGTGCATGAGGGTGTGCAAGTACCAATGTGACTTAATTACTTTTTTTGAACACTTTTACTGATATTCAATTTTTATCTGTATGACGAAATGCCTAGGCACAGCTGTACTTATATGCTGATGATGATTTAAATTAGAAATAAAGTATAGTTACCTATTTACTTTTGACTTTTTACGTTTTACGTTCTGTAATATCTGTAGTAGGTAATACACAGGCCATACATCCATACACAGGCCATACATCGAGCACAAATGCAAATATTGAATGATTTTAATTTGCACCTGGAGAAATAAATATAATGTGTTTGTTAATTATACAGCTGAAACTGTAAACCTATTTTTCTTTGCAGGTTGACACTCAAAGTTCACAATGCAGTGTAATGGATGTATCTTCAACAAGCCAAGCGCTAGTGTTCGGGGACCAATCCGGACACCTGCACTTGTTCTCCCCGCAGCATAACCATGAACCAGTGTTTAATAACTTTTCCAGGTAAGCGCCGAAAATTTGCCGAAAATTATAACTTTGCAGGCAAAATAATTTCTAGAACCATCGTATTATTGTATTGTGTTGTATGTACCTATATTGTCACATGTTTTGTCGTTAAAGGTGTAACCTAAAGAGTACTCAAGAGGCACACAATAGCTCATAATTATGCCATCTATACTAATATTATGAAGAGGTAAAATTTTTAAACGTTTGTATGTAATGGTTAAACTTTGGAACTGCTGGTCTGATTTCCAAAATTCTTTCACCTGACAATTCTACAATGTTCCTGAGTGCTATCTTGTTTGTGGCTGTGTGCCATAATATAGCCAATGTAGCAACAATAAAATGTACCTACCGGGCATAAATCCAAACTCGATGTATTTCCATCACACACTTTAATATATAATATTTGGTAAGAGCTCATAAAGTGGCGGTCGCTTGGTAACGCTGCGGTCGTACATAGAAAATCTACCCTTTGGAATGTTCAGCCGGGGTTGCTGTGCAAGCGCAATGTGGCACCGCGGCCTCGGCCTAAAACAGCAGAAGGAACGAGGGTTTTTAGTCAGTGAGAGTCTGACACTCTCTCTCGTCTTACCCTGGGAGGGGGAAGTCATTTGATGATTTTCCCCCTGACAAAAAATACCCCTTGTTTTCCACATATCTACTAACACTAAAAACATTTCTTCTTCTTCTTATTTATAATAAATATTGTTTCTAGAGCAACAGAGTTCGCAGATCAAGTGTTGGGTATTCCTTACGTTGGGTTCAACGACACGACATTCCAGTTCTCAACCGTACCACTACCTCCCCTTACTTCAGGCAACAAATGGTTCAACGAATTACCCGAAGAATTCTTCAAGAGAATATACAGGTGTTTGTTTATTTAATACCTTTTTATTTTTTTACCTAATTCCTTATACAATTTTAAAGTTATTATTCTATACAGGAAACCGAAACCGATAGATCCTGAAGTACTGAAATCTATGAAAATGCAAGGCCCCATCGGATATGCACCGAATCCTAGATCATTTAAAAGGAATCAGGTATATTGAATGAAATCACTTTTAAATCACACAAAGTATAATAAATTAAAATAAAATTATTATATTAATTTAGTTTTTTATAATTTTCAGATGCCATACATAGAAGACAATTTAGATGATTTGAATTCTTCAAGGCAAAATGAAAATAAATTTGTTGCTCAGCCCATTCCTAAACACTATCAAAAGGTAAAAGCGTCTTTTGTGTGACGCCAAGCTTTTTTAGTGTTGTATTGTTGCCAGTTCAATAAATTCCATCTAATGAAATAAATTCCCCAGCAACACACAAACTTTAATTGCTATTAATTTGTAAATTAAAATATTTTTATTTTATTTCATTTATTTTCACATATTAGTTTGCCATTTCAGATAACTTAACCTAATTGGACATAGTAACTTAAAACATGTTTCCTAAACTATTGACTATTAACTATATTTAACTAGGTATAAACTTACACTAATATTTGGATTAAAGACGACTCCCACGTGAGATCTCGGCGACAACATCAACCACACGAACAAAGAGAGGGCTAATCCTTAAATGTAGTGAAAATTACAATGCTTATACTACAAAATCCTTTTATGTTTTTACAGATAGACATACGCTACAATAAACACGGTCCGAATGAGGAATTAGAAAAGTTGAACAGAACAGGTCTTCCAGGGTTAGAGACGACGTTACCTAACTCGTATTGCAATTCTATGTTGCAGGTAATTTTATTGTTTTCTTTATTCTATACGAAGTTTGTATTTACAATAGATGTTTAAAAGACGTACACACGATTATTTATTACTAATACATATGGCATACGGGGTCGCAGGTCATGCGCAATAAGATACCGCGGTCTCGGCCTGGAGCAGAAAAAGGAAAAGCATGGAGATTACGACGATCTCTCAATGTAGAAAAACCCATAGCCTTAGAGTAGTGTCATAAATAATGTTACAAATTTACGGAAGTCACGGGGTCACCTAGCTATATACTATTGCTGCGGCATAAAGTTGATGGTTTTCAGTTAGCAAGACCCAGTATTACGCAGGAAAGCCTAAGAATTTATGTAATGTTGCTTAATATTATTATTTTTTTGTGAGGGAAAATCATCAAATGACTTCTCCCATCCAGAGTAGAGCGGGAGGGAGTGTGACTCTTACTGACTAAACCCCCCCCCCCCCGTTCGTTCTCCTGCTCCGGGCCGAGGTCGCGGTGCCTCATTGCTTGCTGCGGTGCTTTCCCCGCAACCCCGAGACATTGCAGCTTGACGTTTAAAAGTGCCTACTGTGTCTGTTTGAAATAAATTATTTTGACTTTTAACTTTGGGCTTATTAAGAGGGTTAATGATGCGTATTGTGACCACTACATAACGGAGGTGTTAGTTACTAATCAAAGGTTTCTATACGTCATCAAAAACAAAACACTCCCATCCACAATGATGAATAATGGCTCTTTTGTAGAGTTTTACACATAAAAATGCGCAGTCTCGTGTTCATAAATGATCGTGTGTATGTTACTAGGTTTTAAGAAAACAATACTAGATTATAAGTCACAACTTTTTTCAGGTTTTATATTACACATTGCCGGTTAAGGCGACCCTCTTAGCACATACATGTGCCAAAGAATTTTGTCTCAGTTGCGAATTGGGTATGCTCACTTTTTATTTATAATATTATTTTTTTAGGATGATTTGTATCTACTACGAACAAAGAAGTTTTTAAGTCAACTGAGGGATTGAATTAATGTTTTTATTGACAGCTTACCTATGTGTATAGCTCAATGCTGGTCGAATTTTATTTTTATTTTGGAGTATATGGTATCTGAGTAGACGGTATTAAAACTTCACGATATCTAAAGTAACTGTACCGTGCTATATTTAAAGGTCTTTAAGAGACCTTTGAAATGTACCTTACCTGACCTTTGGCTATGCATGTAATGATTGCTTTAAGCTATTTTAACGAGATGGTTCAAGCAACTCAAAGAATTTTGTCCAGTTCTCTATGCGTAAAATAAAAAAATACCAATAAAAGTAAAATAAAATTCGACCAATACAATTATTTATAGCCATTTTTACCAAGTTTTCTAATTACAATATTTTATTTTAAATATTTCAGGGTTCCTTTTCAGAATGTTAGATACGTCTGGCGGCGCGCCGTGTCAGGCTAACAACTTTCTTCGCGCGTTCCGTACTGTACCGGAGGCGGCAGCACTTGGCCTCATATTGCCAGATAGAGGACCGGATTCCAGGGTCGATCTAGTTGCTTTGATACAGGTATACTTTATTTTTATTGGGATAGAGTTGAAGATTCTTTGTTTGGTTCTTTTGTAATTTGGCCGTTAAATGGCTGCTACTTGGCATTGGCCCATGACTGTAGACAAACTAGAAAAAAAATCTGTTGCTGGCGATGTAAGACAAGCGAGCCACCAGCCTTAGTGCAACTAGAGACCATTATGCAATGTTATGCAATTTCTTGTGTGCGATTACAAACATACAATTTAACATACACATCACACCTGGAACAATAAGTTATTTATACTAATGTTTTAAGTTATTTACCTATTTTTTACTGTATTTATATTAGTACTACCTATTTTATTTCTCAACCAGTCAACATTATAACCACAAAAAAGAAAGTAAAAAACCAATTAAACATTTTAGTCCTCACCCACAGAGTTGGAATCGCTTCATCCTGCATCAGATTCACTACGAAATACTTGAAACTCGGAAAAAGGAGAAAGCGTTACTAGTGAACAGTCCACCTAAACCTGTTCGTATGCCAGCTTTGAACGTGAAGAGACCTGTTCCTCAACCGAACCAGGTCAACGGACAGTTTTCTGAAGAGTATCAGTACACTGAGTTGGAGTTTCTGGGACCGGCTACGGAATTTGAATGTACTGAGGAACTGAGAGAGGAAGGGTGGACGGCTCGGGAGGATGGTGAGACCATTTATATTACTTTTAATAAAAAAAAAAAACCTAGTGGAAAGTACTGGAATGTCATTTGTATCTATCTGTTAAAGACAGTTAAAATATCACACAGGAAGCCTAATCGTACTTTTAAAACTTGTACAATGATTTATTTCATAGGCCAACTACGAGCATATGGATAACCTGCTGGTAAGCAACACAAGAGTAGGTAGGAGCGCTTTCGGAGTTAAGGGAATTAGGGTTTCGCAAGACTAATTAGGGAAGCATTAAGGGAGGGGAAGCATTGGGTGGTAACATCACTGACACGGCAAAACACAACGCTACGGATCTTTCACGCCGGTTTTCTTCCATTCTCGCGGAAGCGTGGTTCTCCCATACTTAAATATATCCGCAAATTGTGTTGATAAGCTCATAACTGAACAACGCCTGGATCAATTATGCCAGTGCTTTTTTGGTCTGTTAGTTTTAGTCAGGACAAGGTTCTTATTAGTAGACACCCGTAACGTTTAACCCATAAAGTTCCATTGCATTCTCATGTTGCTACAGTAAACTAATAAAAATATTTTATATCAAACCCAGTAGCGATCTTATTTGGACAACCCGACTACGGAGGTTAGTGGTTATTTTTATAAAGAATATATTCAATGTATTAGTAGTGTTGACATCATCTTATTTTTTTTTATAATACTTTAGCGCCAGAATCAACTTCATTATAATCAAAAGGTACATTAAATTTATTTTAGATGTTCATTTCATATTGTTGTCTTTTAATTTGTGTATACAAGAAAGTGCCAAAATTACAATCCTATTTATGTTTATATCATGTAGCTGAATATTTCTAGAGCATGCAAAACAAATGTGTTCTGGACCAAAGTTTATCATTTCATAAAAAAGAATTACATATTTATTAGGTGCAGGCGATGCTGATTCAGTTCCAGTAGATAACCACGAGCTACCAAACAATCAACAAGCGGACAGGGAAGAGTCTGAGATATCACAACTATTCGCCATCGGAAGACACCAGCTCAATCGGTGTATGAAATGTAACAAGGAGGTTGGTTATTGTTAAAACTTTTTATAGTTAAATACAAGAGGTTGGTGGAGTTTTCATTCGCAAAGGTTAGTTAATACAAAAAGTCAAAAAATCACAACAAAATTAGTCTAGTAATATTCACCCAGGAATTGCAATCCAATTTATTCTATAATCTATCTGCTAATAATAATAATTCTGAACTTTAAATTGTACTAAGTTTTATCTAATTTGTCGCCAGGAAGGCAGAGAATCCGTAGTGTTGGCCTGCGCTCTTCAGTACCCCACAGCAGTGCGGGAAGGTCCGGAACCCCGGGGCGGGTTTTTAGAACTTATTCGCGCATCACTAGCGGCACGTCGCAGTACGCCTGCGTGGTGCGAACATTGTTCTAGATTTACTCCAACGGTTCAGCGAGGGAGAATCGTTAGGTTAATATTTTACCTAATTTATCAAAAAGATTTTTGAAGTTCATTTTATTTTTATTCACTTAGAAGGTGTAATCTTTTCGTATTCAGGCATCGCCAGATATTTATTTATTCACTTCGAAATAACACTCATATGTGCCAAAATTTCAGATTACCGATGATACTATAAGCTTTCGTGATGTGTAAATCAGTGCCATATTTCAGATTACCGCCGATTCTAGCGATTAATTGCGGAGGTGCTACCGTTCGAGAGAAGGCGTATTGGGCTAAAGGGGCACAGAAAGAAATGGTGAGAACGTTTATCATAAAGGCATTTTAATTTGCCAAAATTGCTGGTCTCGGTTCGAAATCTGACAAGTACTTTCTAAGATTATTAGAACACAACATACAGTAAACCAAAGGATCATGAGGAAACCTGGACTCACAATTCCTAATTATAAATTTGAAGTTGTTAATCCGCCTTGAGCAAGCGTGGTGAATAATGCTAAATGAGAACAGGTATTTGCTCAGCAGTATTCACTTTTAGCCTGATAAAGATGATGATAAAATGTTAATATGCCGTGGGATCGTATTATGAATATTTATTGAATCAAATGTAGAACTTGATTGCCCATCAATCAAGCATTTTTATAACGTATTTAATTCTAATAACAAGGCCTTAGTGCCCCATAGACACCATCGAACTGCAAAAGATGATTCGCACTTTTCGTAAGAAGTAACGCTGTGGTAACTTCTTTGAAGTTTCAGTGTCCAAAATCGGCTCTGATTCATTATCATCGAGTCATCCGGCTGATTGTCTGGAGACAAAACATAAAAATATCACACTCTCTAAAACTTGTACGAAACTTAAATATACTTAATTGTCTTAATATTTATTGTGTTTAAGCCGGAAACGAAGCGAGGTGGCGGTGGCAAGCCTTGCCGATACGGACTTCACTGCGCTCGACCAGGCTGTCATTTCAAACACCCGGAGAGGTGAGATATTTGCTACTGATTAAATTTTTTTATATAAGTTTTTTGAAAAGTTCAATTAATTACCCAATTTTCATAAAGTTAAATTGCATAATGTTCAACGGTGCACCCATTTGCCTGCACAACAAGCAGTTGTAGTATGTTTACGGGCCCCGGCGCGGGATGAAATAAGTCGGTAATCTTTGAAATACTTAGTAAATGAGTTATGAGTAAACCGTTTTTCAATTCAACAGAATGGTAGCTCTGTTTTGGTATGAAATTCAGCCAAATATTAACTCGGTTTTGTTTATAACGGATTAAATTTTTTTCAGGCCTAGTCCCCAAGCTGGCTCATCCAAGACGCCTGCTCAGGAATCAAACTGCGTTCTACCGCAACAGCTACTTATAAGACTGCAATCTGACGGCGACGTTGTAATTAATGATAAGGTGAGAACAATTATCATTATGCACTTTATATAAAAATATATAATATATATTTTCGATTGCGACATATACATATTATGTATATGTCGCAATCGAGTCGTCATTGGAACCTCTTGAGAGGCGCCGGCTAGTAATGTCGAATTTTGAAACGGTCACGCGTTCCTATAGCAGCCATCGTGACACAGATGTCGCCTGAAAAACTTACCTTCTAAAATTATTGAATTGAACTGAGTTGAACTGGTCACTCCACCAGCATCTCTCTCATCTGTGTAAATTGTTGATCGTTAAACTTCCAAAACATTTTATCAATAAAAATTATTCCTTGATTATTTATTTTAAATATAATCCTACATAATCAAACATAGTTTCATAAATAAACTAATATAAGAGTCGTATTTTTTACAAAAATATTTCTGGCAGCGGTGGGATTCGAACCCACGCCTCCGAAGAGACTGGTGCCTTAAACCAGCGCCTTAGACCGCTCGGCCACGCTACCCGATGGGCGTATTGCCGAATTTCGTCATCGTACCACGAAAAAGAACCTGTTTTGCTTCTAAAAATATTTTTTATTTTAAAAATATTGTTGTTAATTACCCCATGTGTATATACCTATATCTGTGATATTTGAATTTAAATTTAAGAATATCCCACTACAAAAAAGTCTATTTTTAGAAATGAGTTTATATTTATTTGTATAATGCTTGTTATAACAATGTTAAGCGAAAAGTGGTCAAGAAAAATTCAAAAATCTTATAGTTACCCTATATACATCTTGAGATACTATTTTCGATGTAGAAAATAACTCAATTTTTTTATCGGGTACTTGACATTTAGTCTTATTTATAATACTTCATTAAATTGTCAAAATAAATAATTTTCTATGTATTTTGTGCGGGATGTGTTGTGACATAATTTTTTGGTGTCGAAACTAGCATCACCTATTTATTTTTTAATTGCTATATAAATAGGAATACTGTGTAGGTACATATCATTAAATTTGTATTGTTTTTATGAAATGTTTTTACTTAGTGCCCAACTTAAACTTACTCGTCTTTTCCAGTTGGAATCCCCAACCGAGCCACATACCCCGAACAATAGGGCTGACAAGCACAAGAAAAAGAACGTTACTACACAGTCCGAAGAGGAATATACTCTGTCTGCAGCTGTTGTATGCGTGGAGGACAACCCTAAGAACTTAATCGCCTACATACAGACAGCGGGGAAAGACGTTGAACCTGTGTGGTACTTGTTCAACGATTTAAGGTGAGAATACCTTATTAAATGCACTAGCTATTTTCGCGAGGTATCATCCATAGCTCGACGCTTAAAAAAATTTTGATAAAAATATTAGTGTTACACTGTACTCACATATTCGAACCAACTTAATACGGTAATGTACCAAAGAATCTGTTTGTGAAACTACTTTAAAAAGAGTAACCAGTTTCTTGCTCGCTCTGTTCCATTGGAATCTACACTTTGGAACGAGAAAATAGCTTCACTAAAACGACTGACACTTTATCTTTAAGTTTTGTTTGACGTTCAAAAGTGTCTGTAAGGGTCTAATAATTTAAATAAATGATTTTGACTTCGACTTAAAGGTCCAACGACGTGATGTCGATAGCTTTCCTCGATAAATGTTCCATTTTAAACAATAGCGTCGGAAATTAGGGCATTCAAACAAACTCTACAGCATTGATTAATATTAGTATAGATGCGTGCTAATGCGTAGGTAAATATGACATGAAGTTTTTTATTTCAAAGTTGACCTGAGAGACTTATTTGTTTGTTTTCTTATACTTTTAAACGTATGACTTCGTACACAATGTGCCTTTCTGGGGACACGGTAGTGCCCCAGACAAGTCTTTAGTTAAAGATTTCTATGAATAAATTAACAAAAGGTCGAATACGCATTTTAAAATTGCGCCCGTAGCGACTTATTTGCTTTCTGTTTTAACTTGTGTAAGTGGATCAAATCAGGCTTGATTTTTTATGTAATAGACCGGCAAACGAGCAGGCGGATTACCTGATGGTAAGCAATCAGCGCCGCCCATGGATACCCGCAGCGGAGGAGTTACGAGTGCGTTGCCGACCTCTTAGGGATTAGGGTTTTGGAGATTAAGGGATTGGGGAGGGATCGGGGGAGGGGAAGGATTAGACCTCCGGTAACCTCCCACACACGGCAAAACACAACGCTGTGGTTGTTTCACGCCGGTCTTCTGTGAGGCCGTGGTATCACTCCGGTCGAGCCGACCCATTCGTGCCGAAGCATGGCTCTCCCATACTTGATTTGTGTTACCTCTCTTTATAAACGGAAAGTAGAAGGTTGGTCATTAATTAATGATATTTATGCAATATTTCAGTATTGTACCAGTGAGCGCAGACGAAGTGGTGCAGTTCGGTGCGTGGTGGAAGACGCCGTGCGTCCTGTTCTACACGGCCAGCACGGCGCGCGCCCACGCCGAGTCCGAGCCGCGCTCATAGCACTCGCTACTGTATGGGCCGCGGAGCAATGGGTTAGTACTTACACAAACTTATCATATAATAACAAGTTATACAATAACAAGTTATTATATGATAAGTTTGTGTATAATTATAAAAATAAGTCGAGTTTTCCTTCTTGACCCTATAACTCCAGAACGTACGCACGGATTTCCCCGGTAGTGCATTAGTTGAAAAGGCGTCGGGCTCCGTGAGGTTTATAGCAAAGAAAATTCAGGAAATATTTCAACAGGAAAGCGGGAGATTTTTTTTTCATATACAGCTATATGACAAGATGGTTTTTGAAATATATGTGGTTGCTAGTTCTAAATATAAGTTTTAAATCGCCTTGAGCAAGCGTGGTGATTAATGATCAAACCTCCTCCTTCTCCGTGGGAAGAGATGCCTTAACACAGCAGTGGGCACTTACCTATAGGTTGATGATGAAAACCACAAAAGCATTGCGCAACTTTTTTGATGCAGTATATTAATCTTTTGATACATTTTAAACATTTAATTAAGTCATATCTTGATGACGAATTACAAAAATCCGTTTACAATATATTTTGTAGTTCGTCATAAAACTGACTGCGGTGAAACATAACGTTCTTATTATTTCGAAGATCGCTTTATGGATCTTAACTATATTAAATTGCAAAAAAATATTAAATAAATTGTATCATATTACGTTTTAATTTCCCAGTGCTATCGTAAGCCCATACGTTATGAGCGAGATGTACTACCCGGTACCGGCCGCGACGCAACCGCACTACAACTTCGTTCAATAAATTCCAATACATTGTAAGCTCAAGGAAACGCTCGGCGGCACAAAATTGTGTGAACAAATGTATGAACTGAAATTATTAATTAGTATTTGTAAATTATGGCGATTTTAGCTAATCGATATGCTGGTTTGATGAGGATGTTGTAATAAATTAATAGTGTATGTAAGCCTTTGTTGATTCATTCAATGAGGAGCTATTTTCCATATATTTTGGTAATTAACTAAAGGTAAGCAATCGTAACACAATTTTTATGTAAACAATTGTCATTTGAAAATCAACTTTAACTGGCTCACAAATTGGTTTAAAACTGCTTTTCTCGAAACAAATGTCTTTTCTTTTTTTAATCATGATCATAATATTTTAAAGATTTCTTACATTTTGCCAATTATCTGAATTTATGGACTATTAGACCTATAGGGTGTCTCTCAGACCGTACTTATAACAGATACTGACTGTATCTGAATAAATTTGTAATTAATTGTTTTTAGCGACGTTTTTATCAAACCAGTATCGCTAAATTATGTAAAATTTATTTAGTTATTAAATAAAGATTTTTTTTATAAAATTCATTCAGATTGTACTCATATGAGAAGAAGCCGTCTTATCTCAAAACTTGGAGGATATTTACCATATATATATTTCAACGCGCAGCCTAAAGTTGCGACGCTATGTACCTAATACTTATTATGCGGATATATGTATTCCTTAAAGCCTAATATTGCATAAACTACCTCAAAACATATTCCGTTCCTATTAAAATTGTTCCTTCAAGTTTCGAGATGTAGCGGCTTAAGAAAGTATTTTTATATTTTGAGAAAAATAATAACTATGGCGAAAAGTCTATTAACTGAAGTTTATTGATAGGTAAATGAATGAAGTTGCGTACCTAATTAAATGTTTACGTTAAATATCAGCTTTTGACGAATTAATTCCTTAATAAGTTAGTTGCTGTATATGACATATCGGTATCTTTTAAAATAAACCGATAGAATAAGAGAAAGCACTGATAAACTGTACTAAAAAAATACAGTCTGCCTCAGTCAGTCAGTCCTCTCAGTAAAGCTATTTGCTAATTCAAACCAAAATCAATTGTGTTTATTCAAAGGATATTTGTTTTATATAAATCACATTACTTTGACGATTTCATTCAACAATCATTTGACCAAACCTATCATGGTATACCTATTATCGATAATTTACAACATAATTATGTTTTAAGCCCATTTACAACAAGCAAGTATCTTGCCAAACGACAAGTCAAGCAATAAATGACTTTTATGGCCTTAACGATCTAATTATGTTAACGAACCTTAAATTCAATTATTGCTATTTTTAAATAGTAAATATCGTGAGCTGAATGCTCTACTAGTTTCAGATCACATCGGGACCCTTATTCATGAGTAACGTGCGCGTCGTGGCGATATCGCGCAGCCAACTGATATCATGAAGAAGTCTCGTTGTGACTTCAAACTAGTAGAGTTTTCTCAGTTAATTATCATTAGTAAGTCGTTACTTTCAATAAATTAAATTACTGCTCTTGTATGTCCAAGAAAATGCTATAATGTAAATGAGGCTTTACATTTGTTCACGAATGTAACTATCACTCTTCAATATCAATTTGTATAGAAATAAGGATTTATTTATTTTGGTTGTGATATTAAGAGTTACGAGTAAATTAGCGGATTGCTAAATTCTGTCTCTTCCAATAAATTACGTCCAATCAACCAATAGTTTTATCTAAACTACATATGAACAAGCCAGTATATTTAGATAGATTATTAGACAGTGTTTGCCTTGTGGTTGAGCTGTAATTTTATCACTGAAGTTGTTCATAGTAGTCTTGAAAAGTATATCCCTTTCCGATTCCTTATTGTTACTTCATAGACATAGAGAACGGACTACTGCAATACACAGTTCTTTTAAAGAATTCTTAAAATAAATGTTCAACATTGCAGTTTGGTATTAAAGTCGAAAATCGAAGAACTAAAGCCCAAGTTCTTTTGGATGTCTGTCTATTTACGCCTGTATCGAGGTAATGAAGTTACTAATCGCACAATTCATCATTCGTCATATAATATTTATTCATAGGCAGGACTATATAGTGTGACTAGATTTGAACCCGTCATAACAAATTCTCACGTGTAGAGGAAAAACATGTATTTTTGAGTCTGTTGTTAACTCTTGTGCCTATTTCAAAATTCTTTCACTATTGGAAAGCTTTATTAATCCGGAGTTATATAATGATTGCTATAAAAGCTCGAATGACTATCCACGCAAGGTCTGGACGAGCCGTTATAAACTTTCAAGAATATGTATGATAGCAATAATATATCGTATAAAAAATAGGTATGATTTAGTATAGCACTAACTACCTTTTTATGAAAATTTATAGCAAGTCTAAAATACAATCACTCTGTATAGTCCAACGTCCATTTTCTATATCTATGTGTCCTTCCCAGATAAAATTTATTGGGTTGCTTGCCAAAAGCGATTGACTGATGTTTGTATGTATGTTACGAAGTGAAAAAGAGATTAGTCATTATGTAATGCGATGATGTGGATATAATAATGTGACATTATAAAAATTTTACACGATGGATACTTTCAACTTTATGTGCAAAAATAGGATCGAAATTACGTACTTTAGTAACTTTTGAGGTATTTTTTTATGTAAAAAGTGGACTGTAAATCCCGAGTAATTTTTGTTTGTGGCATTATAGCTTATGTATTTGAAGTTGATAGTAAACAACGTGTACGATGAAAAATTTCAGCTATTTTATCAATCGACAAGTTATAGAGTAAAGGTACTGTGATTATTTCAGTATTTTAACAAACTTGCGTTTTATGGTACCGTTTTAAAGATGAGTTTTCATTGCTGCGTCCTTATTGAATTGCGTGAAATAATCACAGTTACTATCTATATTTTTTAATATCAAAGGATTCCGCTTTGTCCTACATGGTGGCTGGTTTTAAATAAAAACGAATTTGAAAATAATTATATGTTTTATTTAAATGTCCCTGCACATAAATATCACGATTGTACACACATGATATTTCCCCTTAAATAAAAGAAGCTTTGTTTTATAAAATAAATTTCTTGACATTTACTTACACACAACAAATAAAATGATGACATACTACTACACTTTCTGTTTAAACTTAACTTTAACTTCCATCCAACTTATGAAATATCAATATAACATATACCACTCTATACAACACTTAGGACCCGTTCCAAGAAGGGGCAAATATTTTTTTACGCATTTTTAAAAGTGCCTCTGTGGTCCTCATATCCTTTTCTCCAAAGCAATTTGTTACAAACTAACCCCTTGCTAAACTAGCGTCATCTTGTGGACAAAATTGATAGCCTAACTCAAGCAACCATATTGTCCTCTTCAGCGGTCCTCAGTTCAGCTTTGTGGTGCTCATCCAGCACACTAGTTCTGTCAAACCTGCTAGTTGCAACCTCCTTTATACTATTGTAAACAGTCGGATAATACGCTATAGTCGTTTCAAAATGTTCCCTATCCAGTCTAAACAACTCACAGTTAGTTACTGCTATAGCTGATGCAGTTCTAAAATGATGTTTCATTACCAATGCTATTTCCCCGAAGAAATCGCCGTCTTCGAGGTGACAGATCTCCTTGCCTGATTCAGAGTAAATAGCTACTGTTCCTCTGTCAATGAAGTAGAGGCAATCGCCTGTAAGTAAGCAAAAGTAAGCTGTAAATTTATATGAATAGAGTCTTCTGGAAATTAATCTATATTGTCATGTTTTAGTTCATTCTAAAAGAGATATGATTCGAGCATTGCATGATGGATCGTTAGCGCGATCTACATGTTTAAGGCGTTCGGCGCTCTGATTGGCCTGCTCCATGTTAAGTAGCCAATCAGAAAGCTAAGCGCGATAAACATTTTTTTTATTCATTTGAGATGACCTCGTTAGTATACGGTAGTTTCAAACTAGTCAAATTCAATACTGTAATTATCCAAATGTCAAAAACGATACTTTACCCGTGAAATTTGTATGAAACTCCAAATTATGACGTCATAGTACATTTGCGGCAAAATTGCTAATTTAAAAAAAATGCTAAAAAATATCGAAAATTTAGTGTATCGATGAATAAAAGTTAAGTTAATTTTCAATATTTTATTCTATTGAAACGTCGAATTAATTTATTTTTGACCTAAGAAACTACCCAATGGCCATAACCTAGTACAAACATGACATAGCTACTTACCCACAGTATTGATCTTGAATATGATATCCCCAGCGATATATATGACGATTCTTAGTTTGAAAGCGATTTGCACCAACAGAGAACTTGGAAGCTGCTTCAGAAATTCTAGTTCTCTCACTAACTGACGGCCAGTGTGCATAAGGATGTCTTCTCTTAACTGACCTGACACACATCCGAGCATGCGAGATTCCTAATTAGACAATTATTATCGTTAATAAAAATGATTTTATTAGTTACTAGCTACTCTCCCGCGGTTGCACCCGCTGCTTGGTTCTATTTAATCGTAGCGTAATGTTTTATAGCCTATAGCACTCAGGAACATTGTAGCTATCTATCAGTGAAATAATTTTGGCAATCCGACTATCGATTCCAAAGATTACCCCCTACATACAAACTAAAACGTTTGTACGTATAAATTTTACCTTTATTCAAAATAACCAGCTCGTTTTCTTCCTTTTTAAGAATCAAGCCTTTCAATACCTCCTTGTATCTAACCAGTACCAGCTACTTTGCAGATACCGTCCTATTATTTAGAAGAGTTCTAGAGACTATATGCTTCATTACAGACAGACATTTACATTACAGACAAATTTGCACATGACCCATAAAGGTCTGACCTATGGTACACCATGACACAGAAATGTATCTACTATTTTGGCAATCTATTTCTTTTACCTTTTTACTGACTGCTGGTTTCTATTAAAAACTATCAACACAAAGCAATAAATATACCTCGAAATACTTCGACTGAAACCGAATAGCATAAAACTTAAGGATTTTTCTCTTCAGTCTTGGCGGGAAGTTTCTCTGCACCATGTATGTCTGCAGCTGTTTGTTCATCATATAATAGTGCGCTCTGGCTGACTCTTTACCAAACAATGCTAGTATATATTTTAATGCGTAATGGTATATAAAAATCTGTAAAAAATATTAAAACTCAAAAACGGCTGGACCAATTTTGATCATCCTGTTTTTGAGAAGATTCTTAAAACTCTTCTTGAAAAATATAGGTATAAATCATAATATAGTCTATTTCGTCGTCGGCGAGGTAATGGGACACCCGTGCGAAGCAGGGCAGGCTACTAGTTCATTATAAATATCTGCGCTTGCATAGGTAAACATTGTTTTGCCGAGCTTCGTTCGGATCTTGTTTTAGTTCGAACTAGTATTAATATTTATAAGCTTATTATTAGCTTGTTATGACAATTCGTTCTCGGTTTAGGTAAAACTAGTGTTAAAATTTATAAACTACTTATTTTAGAACGAAACATACAGGACTGTTCTCCTGCTCTCACCTTAGAAAAAATCCAACAAGTAACGATAAAGTTTTCAAAGCAACCATTCCGTTCTAGAAGATTCATATTCGTGTTTGTAGTTAACATACCAACTGGAACATGACAATGGAAGGGAATTTTAGACAGACCACAACCTTTATTCGAAACCTGGGAAGTATCAATGTGACTTTTTCCGAGTTAGGTACATGTAGGTACTTTTCTATGATTTATTGAGACGCCACTGACTTATATTGTGATTAATGCCCAAACCTTCTCCATGTGAGAAGAGGCCTTTGCTCAGCAGTGGGCACTAAAGTTCGTTATAACTATTATTTAAGTATGTTTGGATGTGGAGCCGTCATAATACATATTTAACAGACTAGGCAGCATCTTTTTTTCTCTTTTAATAAACCTAATTTTTTCAAACTGACAAATACAACCCATCTGCGAAATATGGATATATCGAAAACTCCTTCATTTGATGAGGTTATTGTCTAGTAATGGACTCATAAACTGTTGTTGTCTATGATGTACTAGATTCTACTAACGGCTTCGCCCGCGTTTCCGAGATAAAAAGTAGATCAAGACTAATTTCAAACGCTTTTCCGACTGAATTTCATTGAGATTTATTCAGTAGTTTTTTCGTAAAAGAATGTCATACATCCATCCGTACTTACAAACTACATACCTTCCCGATTATAATATTAGTAAGATTTATTTAAAAATAATTTTTATTTCTTTCACATACCAGCTCTGTCAAATGCATAAAGGATTCGAATTTCAGTGGTTTGGTTCCAGAGATTCCCCACAGTTAGCCACGAGCAGTTTCTGGGATTTGTCGGTGTGTTTGTTCCCTCCATGATATAGTCCATGGAAAATTGGAAGTAAATATTCCATGTTAAGAACATTACTAGAGAAAATAGAATCTCCACTCCGGTTTTGTGGTAAACCTGTTTTCATAGAAACAGACTGATAGTTTATAGATAAAGTAGTTGCATAATTATATATAGATATGTGGGATTTAGTGGCATAATATACCTAAGCAATATATGACATAAATATTGATTTATTCTTAAAAAAAAACAAAAAATACGACTTATCGCCCTGCGTCTTCTGTCTTATATCTCTCTTTATTCATTCCCCTTCACTCTTTATCTTTTATAGTTCATTCATTTCTTCCTGCTCATTCATATGTTTCCTTTCACTCACTATTCACTCCACAGATATTTTTTTTAAAAGTCCTTCGAGAAACGAAGGTTTTCCTTAAAAGGGTGGTAACACGCTGTGAGTCTTCTTTTTTTTAATCACTTACCATCATCAAGTGACTAGTCAGCTGATTTGCCTCCTATTCCACAAGAATATACTATAATAAAACTGGGAAACGCAGATGGTCCATTTGTTTCACTCTTTAATAACACAAAAAAGGTAAATATCGATAAATACAAATTCTATGTTATATTATTAGACAGAACATCAACTAGCACTAACTCGTCAAGATTTTAATAAATAAACAAAATTCACTTACAGATGCTCTTAGAACGGTGAGGAAATTTTGCAAGTAAACCATTATTATAGGTAGACGTATTAACTTCGTAGCCTCCAAGACCAAGTAAATATGCTGCTCAGTGAAATAGCTGACAAAGATCCCGAAACAGGCAACCACGTCCAATAACAGCCAGGTCTTAAAGTATTGCCATGCAATCTTTTTTTTGCAGAGAACTGTTACCTTGCGTGAGCAACCCTCGATATACCCGGTGAAGAAATTTAGAATTATATTCACCATGATCATCACATCACAAAATATCAGCAAATATTCGTGATAATCCTGAAGAGATAAAAGAATGGAGACAGACGAATTTAAAATATGTGACGTTTAAACTAACAATGTAAGTATGTAACATATAAGCTATGTAAGTATGCAAAGTGATGTTTTTGACGAGAATGGCGTCAAATAAAGCACCACAAAAATTGTAGGTCTGTCCTGGAACTAACCCCATAAGACACATTGCAACTTTAAAATAACGCGGGTAAAAACTTGGGTACAGCATAGTACACGAAACGTGACACGATGGTACAAGTGTGGAAGAGTCACGCTTTAGCACGAATGGATTGGCTCGACCGGAGTAATAACACGGCCTCACAGAAAACAGGTGTTATACAACCACAGCGTTGTGTTTCGCCGTGTGAGTGCGGTTACTGGAGGCCCAATCCTTCCCCACCCCCAAATCCCGAAATCGCCAAATCCTCGCCGGCAACGCACTCGTAACTCTTTTGGCGTTGCGTGTGTCCATGGGCGGCGAGATTGCTTACCATCAGGTAATCCGTCTGCTCGTTTGCCGACATACCCTATAAAAATTACACATCTCTATGGGAATGCATGATTTTATGAATTTTTTGTTGCTCATTGTGATATACAATCTAAGGTGATAAATATACTAACAGAATCGTTTCTATTATTTTCTGCAACGTGAAAAGCCACAACAAGAGAGGAAGTAATCATCAGGATGACGAACAAAAACTCTGCATATACCCGTAGCTTGCTATACGGGTGTATGGTGTAAGGATAATGCTGGTAGTGACGATGCTTCTCCTCACACAACGCCGCGTACGACCTAAGAGGAATTAAATAAATATCTTTATTTTAAAGAAGAACCGAATAAGCAAAGTTATAATATACTTAATAAATATTTTGCAAAATTTATGTAAACCCTTTAAGTTATATCCACTCTACATTCAATCAAGAAGATTTCAGCATTTGCTATAGATAGTATATCGATGGAGTAGAACTCAGAAGAAAAAATTGTCTCCTCATGACACATTTCAAAGTTAATCTTAATCATCTTCATCAACTTTGATGCAGACTGATTATATCTATTAGTCTTTATAGAGTCAATAGTATAGCCATCAAGTACGGCGTCTGGTCGACAACGCGCAATTGATGTGATATTAAAATTCAAATTTCCAAATATATTGGAATCGAACTTGTCATTGGTTGTAGTAAGTACTTACTAAAGTGCCTCAGCTTTTCTATCTGCCTCTTTGGAAAAATAAGTATCTATAATAAATAGACAGTCCAGCAGTCCAACAGCCCATAATCCCAAACTTATATAGTTTGGGATTATGGGCTATTGGACTGCTTTCACGTGGTCTGGGCTGTCTGAATGTCTTGGTAGCCTAATGATAACGATGACTTAACAAAATTATCTACCTGTGCATATTGATAGCCCTTATATCACCGGCATGAACTGTGATAATGTTGAACAGCCATTTACGGACTCCCTTACACTTCAAGTCGTACTCAGATAGTTTGTCTGCACTCAAATGACATTCATGACCGTGGAAGTACCCATGAGAAGTCTTGACAGTCACCTCTGGTACTGGAGCCACAGTTGGAATCGCTGTTTTGGTCGTATCTTTTTCCTTTTTTTCAGTTTTATCCATAGTCGTGCAATTTGGGGAGAAAATACAAAGAAGAAAATAAGATTACTTTTATGTCACTCTAAATAGAGTGATTTCAATCGCTACCCATTATGTTACTTTAGTCTTTGGATTTCAATAACAATGAAATTACTGACGGAGGAATTGACATTAAACATGGGTACCGGATCAAAAACTCTTTGTTGCCTTGACTTGAAAAGAAGTTTAAGGTTGATTAGAATCTGTTAACTGGTAAATACTCTACAATGATAATTTTTGACTGATTTTTCCTTGACTAAGCATAGTCAAGGAGAAATCTACAAAAACAAAGCTTCTTGTTTGTCCATTTTTAATATAGATACGTTTTTTACTTTAGCACAACGACCACGGAATCGCATCTTTGCTTCTTTTCCAAAAGTCTGCACAGTATTTTGAACAGAAGACAGCACTCAGTAAAACGTCCTCGGTTTTATCAATAAGGGTGATTTCACTGCAAAAAAACAAGTATTTAGAATATCTACATTTTTTAACCCAAAGCGAATCAAAGAAACATAAAACCTTACCCAAGACAAAATTCGTAAAACGCGTGATCAAATACAGGCTTCTTGCAGTTAAGATTTTCACACGTTGAAATTGGTCCACTACTAAGATCTGATATTAGTGTATTAGGCAAGAAATTGAAATACTCCTTTATTACATCAGCAGGTACAAAATATGCTTTTGTAGATTTTTTGTGTATTTCTTGCTTGGCCTTGGGCTTATAGTCATTACCGTTCTCATCGCCATTGGAACTATCCTTGTCAGCACCTATTTTAAATCCATGAAAATTTTCTTGCAGATCTATTATATTATTATTATGTTCATTGTAAAGATTTTCTCTTACGTGTTCTGAATAAAAACTATATGTCTGTGGATTTAATTTTCTTACTGCACTATTTAACATTTGGTAAAATAGTCTTTTGCTTAACTCGTAAAGGCTCGGTGGGGTATGGAACTTAGATTCTAATACAACACTATGTGGTGCGGGAGTTTCTACTGTGACTTCAATTTCATTTGAATCTTCGTCCAAAAGTTTTAATTTGCATTGATTTCTTCTTGTATGTGCGTTTTGGCTATTTGCAGCTTCTAAGCATCTGAAAAGGACAATATAGGTAATTATTATGTTTTCGGCTTACTCACGTAATACTTTGACGAGATACTCGACTAGTTTCAAGCCATGCTAGAGGACCATATTCATGAGCAGCATTCCACGACACGCGCGCGGTGACTGTCGCGCTGTTGAAACTAGTCGAGTATCTCGTCAAATTATTACGTGAGTAAGCCGAAAACATAATAATTAATTTAGAATGTCTCACGAAAGTTATAATAAAAATAAGGACAATATAAGTAGGTAAATTAAAACAAAAATTCTTGACAAAATTGTTCGTAATAAAAACGGAAGCACAGCTTACTGTTGTGATCGCTAAACCTTATATCGATGACGAAACTTTTTGAGTCACCTTAGATCCAGAAAATCTTATGTGCATTTCAATTTAACGTTCCTTATGAGATTTCACTATGTGTATATGTAGGCACGATATCTACGAGGATTTATTGGAAACAGTTTGGGAATTACAAGCACCATCAAAACTTACCCAATATTGAGACATCTAGTTTGTTGATCTCTAAACATGTGGTACCATAACGAGTAGGGCAGAGTCTTCAAGTTGGAGTTCCTCCAAAATCGAAATTCACAGTGATGATAATTGAAGACAGGTCTTTGAGGGAGCCATCGCAATTTATTATCTGTAAAAGGAAATTAGTTTTGTTAAAAGATGGATAAAAATATTAAAACAGTAATTTTATCTTTAACATCATAATTTTAATAGCACATTAAAACAATAAGTACATATTATTTTTCGCATCTGACATTTCTAGTCATAATTACAGACATATATTAATCTAATATATAAAAATGAATCGCAAAATGTGTTGGTAAGCGCATAACTCAAGAACGCCTGGACCAATTTTGCCAATTCTTTTTTTGTTATATTATTTTTTGCCAGGAGAAGGTTCTTATGAAAGAAAATATTTAAAAGTAGAGGGGAAAATTGGGGAAAGGGACGCTTTCGTTGTTAGCGAGATAGTAGGACCCGTGCGAAGCGAGGGTGGGCCGCTAGTATCTATTAAATACAAATAAAAAGGTTTTTTTCAATAAATTCAGAATGTCTCACGATAGTTACTTTTGAAAAATAAATTATTTGAGTTATAGATACTAAACCACCTCCAATGTAATTTTAACTAGCTGTCTTATACTAGCTACTCTCGCGCGGTTTCACCCGCTGCTCTGCACCATTTGATCGTAGCGTGATGTTTTATAGCCTACCTATAGCACTCAGGAACATTGTAGCTACCTATCAGTGAAAGAATTTTCGCAATCCGACCAGCGGTTCCAAAGATTACCCCCTACATACAAACTTACAAATCTTACCTGTTTATAATATTAGTTAGTATAGATTTACACTATCCATTAGTAGATTTTAGCACAACACATTAAAATAAATAGACTTCTTTAACAAGCTTAGTTCTAACATTACCACCGCCCACGTATATCTTAAGACGCAGGTGTAATTCGTTTTCCAAGTCCACTGTAATTTATTTAGACTAGTTCTTCAGACAATTGTATATGTCTATACGTAATTGGATTACTAAACATCCCGCATTTAATTTAAATAAAGAACGACAAATGTCTTCTATTTTCTACTAACGTACTAAAGTGGTTAAATTAATTAACGTTAATAGTAAAATTTTAAGCTTTTGTTAGTAGTAAAGTGGGTACTTATTGTATAAGAAGCTGGTAACACACTTAGAAACCCTGTTAGCTCGGCAACCTGGCAGGTACATATGTGACTTTTCCCAAGAAAGATGTATTTTCCATAATTATTTCGACACCACTGACATACGGTGAAGGAAAACATCTGAAGGAAACCTGGACTTATAATTTCTAATTATAAGTTTTTTTTTTTTTTTTTGTGAGGGGAAAATCATCAAATGACTTCTCCCGCCCAGGGCCGGGCAGGAGGGAGTGTCAGACTCTTACTGACTAAAAACCCCCCTGTTCCTTCTCCTGCTCTATGCCGAGGTCGCGGTACCTCATTGCGCTTACCCCGCAACCCCGGCTGAACATCAGCCCTTTAGGGCCCCGTCTGTGGTGGTCTATTGGCTCTTTGAGGCGCGCGCGGAACGCTACGCGCCGTACGCTCGGGCCTGGTTCTGGTCGGGCGGCGAGCTGCCCTTACTCGCCGACCGCAGGCCCGTACTTACGGTGGCCGGAGATCATCCCTCGATCCCCGACGCCCGTAGTGTCGCCAGTTGCGGCTGCTGGGGCGTGAGGAGGAGGATTGCTCCCTCACGCGGGCCGCCTCTCTCTTTGCGAGCATGACTGCTTCACAAAAGGAGGAGACGGCGTCCCAGTTCCTCTCACTCCGCACCATGGCCTCAACTAAGGCCGGGCGCGAGAGGTCGCCGCCGCCGATCACTTCCCTGAGGATACGGCGGTGCTCAGCCCAGGCAGGGCATACCGCTACCGTATGCTCCACCGTATCCTCTAGGTGGTCCTCACAATGACGACACTCGGGCGTTTCCTCCCGCTGAATCCGAAACAGGAACCTACCGAAGCTGCCGTGCCCGGTAAGCACCTGCGTCAGACGGAAGGTGAGGACGCCGTGGCGTCTCTCAAGCCACTCCTCAAAGAGGGGTCTTACCGCTGCTATAGTAGCGTGCCCGGCCCTCGGTTGCGACAGTCGTTGTTTCCACTCTGCCATGAGATCTCGCCGGAGCTCATTCCGCCACGCACTAATTTGGCGCGGCAGAGGATCTTCGCCCCGGCGACGCGCGTCTGCGCGCAAACTGTAGACGCGCGCGAGCGCCTTCGCTTCTAGATCCCACGGCGGTGATCCGGCAAGGAGGTTCGCCGCCTCCCCGGAGATCGTGCGATATCCGCGGATTACTCGGATAGCCATGACCCTCTGGGACGCGACCAGCGTACGAGCCGGCCGCCGCTTCAAGTCCGGCGCCCATACAGGGGCACCGTAGAGGGCCATGGATCGCACAATCCCCATATATAACCTCCGGCAGGAGGCGTTTGGCCCCCCGAGGTTGGGAAGGAGCCGCTTGAGCGCGGCCCCAGACCGTTCTAACTTAGGGGCCAAACGACGAAAATGCTCCGTGAAGTTCCATCGGCTGTCGAGGACGAGACCCAGGTACTTCATCGCCGACTCGACGCCGATGGTAACTCCTCCTGCCGTTATTTGGGACCCGCCTGGAGGTGGCGCGCTCCGACGGCCATAGAAACACATGGCCTCGGACTTGTGGAGCGCCACCTCGAGTCCCAACTGCCGGATCCTTGCAACGACTGTCGCAACCGCTTGTGACATCAGGTCGGCCGCCGCCTGATGCGACCTCCCGTTCGCCAGCACCAGCGTGTCGTCAGCATAACAGACAATGCTGACGCCGCTCGGGAGGTCGGTGCGTAGCACCCAATCGTACCCGATGTTCCACAGGAGAGGTCCCAGGACCGATCCCTGTGGGACACCGCGCGACACCTCTCGCCGATTCCACACGCCCCGGTGACCGGGGTAGATGACGCATCTGTCCGTCAAATAAGCCTCGACTACACGACGGAGATAGGCAGGCACCCGGTGATACCGGAGTGCCTCCAAAATGCAGCTCCAGGGCAACGAGTTGAAGGCGTTGGCGATGTCCAGAGACACCGCCACGACGACTCGCCTCCCGGCCAACGCTGTCCCCGTCGTGAGGTCCCTCACGCGCATGATGGCGTCCACCGTGGAGCGCCCTCTGCGGAAGCCGAACTGGCCGTCCGCTAAATCCGGCCCCCTTCCAGACAGATGCCCGACGAGGCGGTCTGAGATTATCCTCTCGAATAGTTTTCCCACCTCGTCGAGCAGCACAATGGGCCGGTACGCGGACGGAGAGTCCGCAGGACGCCCCGGCTTCTTCACGAGGACCAGTTTACCCGTCTTCCACGACAGCGGAAACTGGCCTCTCTCCAAACATGCGCTGAACAGACCAAGTAGTCGAGGCTTGAGAGCCTCCGAGGCCAGGACCCAAACCTTGGCATGCAGCCCGTCAGGTCCTGGGGCGGTATTCTTGCCGCTCAGCCGGCGCACCGCCACTCTCAAATCTACCTCGGTCACTTCCGGAGCGGATTCATCGTCGTCGTCGTTGTAGCCCGCATTGGGCACCGCAGGGGGCTAATTATAAGTTTGAAATTGCCAATTGCTCAAACCTTCCCCGTGTCAGAAGAGGCCTTTGCTCAGCAGTGGGCACTTATAGGTTGATGATATGATGTGACACACTAAGCTATCTTGGTCACTAACATATGTAAACTAATAATCATCATACTTTGCTATGATGAAATAAAGAAATTTCTTCCAATTCAACCGGATAAATAACAAACACAACATAAATATTTTCCAACATAAAATTTTATACATCACAACACAGTTTTAACAACTTTCCGTTACAAAATGATTTCCAAAACACATTTTAGAACACTTTCTTAGTCAAACATTCGGCGGTGGTCCCTGTACCCGTAAATGGGTCAACCAAATCAATGAGGAAACGTTAAAGTTGATTTATCGCGGATAGTTTGTTATCCGAGGCGCCAGAACTACTGTCTTCCTAAACTTTACGACGAAATAGTAAAACGTAACTAGAGCGCATTAGTAACGGCCACTGTTTTGTTTAAGATGGTTGCTAATGAGGTTCTGTGATGCAACTTTACTTACGATAATATTTTGAGATGATATACGGGAGAGTTTGGGTTTATTCTGTGTTACATTATGGAGATGAAATGATTTATAAATAGCAGTTATGGTTACTGCATGCATATAAAATGTAGCCGTATGCATAGCACATATAAAATGGGAATGACAAAAACTTATTGTAATCTCATGAGAATTATTTTTATCTGACAGGACAGTAAAAAGTCAATACCAATGGCACTCAAGTAGCTAAACTAAAATATACTTAATCGCATCACATTTAGTCTATTTTGGCTCACTGTTACCTAGACGAAGAAAAACATTATAATTAGAAACTATAAGCCCAGGTTTTCGCATAATGTTTTTCTTTACTGTTTGTCCTTGGTGTATCCTATAACTCGGAAAAAATCGCATTGGTACCTACTTACCAGGTTTCGACCTGTAACCTCATATGTAAGAAGCGGGCGCCTTAACCCCCGGGCTCACTATGACATCAACACACGTACAAAAACTAATTTTAATAAAAAAACACTTTCCTTTATTCAAACAATTCAAAGAGACAGCGGCCTTGGCGTGATCTGCCGCATGTTGCGAATACGTTAAATTCGTACCTTGGAGCTTTATTACCGAATCGCCTTGAGATGTGTTATGAAAGCGTACACGTGAGTACCTAGTGATTACCTCAAACATTTTACTAATACGACACTCTTTATTGCCAGAAATATTTTCTTACATTGAAACGTTAATTATTTAAGATTTTCATGCAAAAGTACTACAGAACTACTCACAACACTGAACCACACGTCACATAAAATTAGAGTAAAGAAATAAATTACCACAAACCGATAGGTACCGTAGACGTCTTAACTCAGAAATCCTTAGCGGCAGCTCGGTTAATTCATTCTCATCCAATATTAGGAACTTTAGGCTCCTCGCTTCAGCTATCTCTTCAGGAATACGCCTCAATCTGTTCCCGCTAACATCTAGACACTTGAGACATCGCAACTTGGATATCTCTCTCGGCAACTCCGTTATATCATTACCGCTAACGTACAGGCTCTCTAAATGCTCCAAAACTCCGATGTTACTTGGTAAACGAGTCAAGAGGTTCTCCTTCAAATAAATATCTGTCACCTCTGCTTCTTCGCCTTTTAATTGATTTAAAGGAAATTCGGTAAAACCCCGATAATTCCAGTGTAGGACTGTTGTTGGAATCAATTCTTCATTGTAATCCATGTTTTATTTTTGCAAGGTATTTTCTAGTTCATTTTCCTCACTTCACTATTAAAAAGTATGCACTGCAATGTTTATTGTTTAACGTATGTTACTCAGTCGAAGTTGTTCATACGTTTGTTTGTAACGTAAAAAGTCAGAAGCGCGTTGCTCCGATTCCCGCCTGAAGAAGACTGCATCCCGTGTCGGGCGGACGCACGAGAATTATTTTTAAAACTATAACAAGGTCTTTGCTGTAAAGATTTTTTTTATAAAAAAATCTACCTACAATATTTTAGATTAGGAATGTATAATGTAATAGTGTTTCTACACCTATTATTATGAAAAATTGGCAGTTTTATTACAGGGGTTTAAGCTTTTCTGCTAAAATTAAAACAAATATAAACTCTACTACTACGTATGTGTGTAGATACATAACAGTTCTTATGTTATAGAAAACCATTCCAACTTTTATTTATTTAAAGCATAAAAATGTATGATTAGTTTATCTATGTATGCAAGTATGCATTAATGAATAGCAATAATGTGTTGGTAAGCGCAAAACTCAACAACGCCTGGATTAAGTTTCATAATTAATATTTTAATATTTTTTATTATTGTCAGGAGAAAATTCTTACGAAAGAAAATTTAAGAATAGTGTTAGTAAAAATAGCGTCTTTGTCATCATTAGCGAGGTACTTGGAAACTAGTGCGATGGAGGTAGGACGCTGGTAAAAAAACTATATACTTATCATTTATAAACAGAAATTATTTAGCATTAGTAAACATAAACAAAATCTTTCATACCTACCTAGGTACCTACGTCATACGGAACATGTTGAGAAAGCGATGCAAGACGTACTGATAAGCTGAGTATTGGTCGGTGAGTTTGGCAGTAGGCCAATACGACGCGGCGTTAGGTCGAGGACAGTCGGCCGTAACACAATAACAAATAATGAGTCCATGACGTTTACGAAATATCTCATCCGTACTGCGGATGTAGGAACGTTACGAAGTACGTAATAAATATACAATTCGAAATGCCATTTTTGAAGCACTAATGTAACCTTAGTTCTTATCACGTGGATCATGGATAGAAAAATGTATAGGAAATTTGTATTTCCTAAGAATATTCCATTTTTATTAATACGATACAGCCAGAGAGCCATATTTCAGCTCGATCTCTGTGATAAGATGGCCTCAAAGAAAACGAGCCTGAAACAACCACAGCGTTATGTTTCGCCGTGTGAGTTAGGTTACCGGAGGTCCAATTTTACTCAATAGGTACCTAAATGTCGAAATTCCTAATCCCCAAATGGTCGGCAACGCACTCGTAACTGGCCTGGTGTTGCGGATACTCAACGGCGCGCCGATTGCTTAGGTATCATTAGATAATTCGTCAGCTCGTTTGCACGTCCTGTCACATAAAAAAATATATATTATATACATATATTATTAGGTTGACCTGTACAAAATACGGAATGACACACATTTCTGATTTTTCAAAAAAAAAACCGCTTTTTAAACGACAAATTCAAATTGTCCATTAATCTGTGCATCAGTTAAGCTTAGTGCAATGTATATTAGAATTTATTCTAAGCCATTAATAAGATTTGATGATGGAATTGAAATGTGGCTGATGGATGGAACTTAGGACTGGACTGGAACACATTCGAGTTTGTGGTGGTAAAATAAGTCCATTTCTTCTAAATACGAGGACACGAGTAGTAGTAAAAGACTATGATTTTTTTTTAATTAAATAAAGCGCAATCGTAAAACTACATTTGTAGTACCTACCCAAATAATATTTATGACTGCACGGTTGGTGCGGTGGCTGGGCAACTGGCTGCCGTGCAACGTGTCGCGGGTTCGATTCCCGCACGGAACAACTCTTTGTGTGATCCACAAATTGTTGTTCCGGGTCTGGGTTTCATGTGTATGTGAAACTGTATGTTTGTAACAGCACCCACGACACAGGAGAAAATCCTAAAGTGGGGCAACGTTTTAATAAGATTATTTGCTTAGACAAAATAAACATTATCATTTCGTCAAAAACCCTTTTAAAATTAAAATATACATTTTATTAATCCTGACACGACGGCCACTAAATCCTAATTAAAATAACATAACATGGTAATGTACGATGTCACTGGCCGCCTGCTGAAATAAAATGAAATAAATAGGTGCATCAAAATATGCGTCCTAGTTTCAACTCTTGCATTCATTAGACGAACTATTTCCATCTTTGTAAACACAACGGGTGTTGTCTAGTTAATTGGGATATATTAAAACGAGGAAACAAGATTTTCTTAGAACGTTTGTTGAGCTTAAAAAGTGTGCCGAAGATATATGAGTTTTCCGAGAAACTGAAAACGTGGTCCGGGTTTCAATTTTTGCAATTTATAATTTTGTTTGTGTAACTTTGTTCTTGTTTGGTAAGTCATAGATTGCTAAAGAGAAAGTATAAGACATCTAAAGTGGATTTGAGTGTTTGATGACTAATTTATATAGCTTTTTCTATAGTCAAGGATTTGTCAATTTTGACTGCATAGGCTGCCGGGTGCAAGCGTAATAATGTACCGCAGCCTCGACCCAGACCAGGAGAAGGAACGTGGTTTTTAGTCAGTAAGAGTCACTCCCTGTAAGGGCTACCTAGAAAGGCAACAGTCATCAGAAGACTGTCCACTACTCAAAAAAGATAATGTTAATGATTATAAGACTTCGCAAAAACTAAAGTTGTCAAGTGTCAGTTGTTGTTTTTACTGACATTTTTGATTTGCTATCACATCTAACAATAACACTTTACCTACCTTTTGGTTAACAATTGCGTTCCATGAATGTTAACCGTTTTTAAATAATTCCATTTTGTACAGTTTAACCTAAAGACTATTTTTGTATTCGCATCGTCTAGAAAAATATCTAGGTATGTAAGTAGATATTTGGTTACACTAGATTTAAGGCATTCAGACAAAACAGATTGACGAGCTCCATATGTGTTTAGCTCTAATTCTATAGAATGTTCTGCAAAGACCACCCACGCTTGCATTCCTATGAAAATGTGTATAAAATAAACTAAATAAAACTGCCGAAATATTAGTAAGGCATTGCAAATTGTGCCATCATTGGAGTTAGCTATAGAAAAAGAAGAAAAGTCACAAAGAGTGTTTCTACAAAACTCTTAATTAACAAACTTTAGGATCCATAATGTACCTGCATTCGTCTCCAGACGAGCTTGTTCATCATAAAATTTCTCAGTTTTGTCCAACTCAAACCGAGCCCGGTTTGAGTAGAAAAATAGACTAGTCCCGCAAGAAGAAGTGCAAGACAAAAGTATTGACAGCAAAGTTGACGCAGTAGCTAGGCACGTTGCCTAGCTACTGCGTCAACTTTGCTGTCAATACTGTGTGCTGCTTGTCGCGACTTCGATTCCTGCATGGAACAACTCTTTGTGTACTTAATCCACAAATTGTTGTTCCGGGTTTGGGTGTGCATGTTAATCGCATCCGCTACACAGGAGAAAATTCCTAAGACGTAGCAACGTTTTTTTAACGAAAAAAAGCGCCATCAGTTTATAAGCTCTTTCCTACTAGGTAGTAAAAAAACACAAAAGTGAAGTTACATTACTAATTGTAATTCAGGAAAGGTCTACATAAATAAAATTAATCTAGATACATTATGATATTTAGTATTTCACAAAAGGTTCTATACAAAACGTCAGGTCACATAGTGTCCACCAGTACATATATACAGTCACAAGTATCACACATTCATTACATAAAGATCAGACTTTGAAGTTATATAAGATGAGTCACATCAGTTCTGGATTTACTAACTTTTAAACTTTCGCGTTTCATCTTAACAACATTATATTTACGCGGGTATTAACGCGGAAAATTATAATTTGAATACCTTGGTAGGCTTGACGTTTCGACCCGGTTGCACAGGTCGTGGTCACAAGTAGACCTAGAGAGTCTGCTTGTGACCTTGTGATAATTTTCCGCGTTAATACCCGCGTAATTATAATGTTGTTAGTTCTGGATTTACCTTTTAAGAAAATTGAGAGTAGAAGAAAATTGAAAGTATTTCCATAGACGGCAGGAGACATAGAACTAACAAAAATTACACGTAAGGTGCTACACATGCATATGTATATTATAACAAAGCCAATATTTATTTGTACCACCCCTCCCCTACTCCCTAAATCTCCGAATCTAGGTACACTACACTCCTGTGGTATTGCTGTGTCCAATTGTCCATGTGCGGCGTCGATTGGTTGCCATCAGGTTATCCGGCTGCTCGTTTGCGGTCATATCACATAAATAAAATGTGTAGCGACGCGTAGCGTCTTAGCACGGCTAGACATATGTATATAAATTTAAAATTTGAAAAAGTCCCCGACATGAAAAACATGAGCTACCTTTAAAAAGTAAAAAAACCGACACGTCAAACTTATTAAAGTTTTAGTTTTTTGAGACGTACAAGTCATAACCTTTCATTTGATACCCCACTTGAGCATATTTGCAGACTATTGGAAAATAGTGAAAGAATTATTAAAATCAGCGCCGTAGTTTTCGGGTTCATTCATAACAAACATACATAACCCAAGCATACACCATTTTCCTTTGGATAGGCGATGTACTTTTACGTTATTTTATTATAAAGATTAAATACTGTAACATACAGCAGTACCTAACTTTTTTTTTCTAAAAGTGTTTATTGTACTCATTCTGTTAGGTACATCATTTCAATTTACTTCTACATTTTAACTTTTCACCCTCTCTTGTATCGCTTTTAAGCTCGTCTATGTTCCCAGTTCGTATATTTATACATATGTATTATATTTTCGTCCATAGTCTCAGGTATCTTGTATCAATTTACCACAATCGTCATACACCGTTTTGAACAAATTAAAATAGTATACAGTCATTGATACCTAATAAATAATAGGTAGGTACTTAATTTGAACTGGAAAAAGTATAATCTTTAGAAGTTCCCACTAAGTATAGTTTACAATTTTATTATGCGTTTAATTTAAGTTAGTCGTCATTCTAACTGGCGGTTTATATGATATGTATAATACATATTTACATATCTTCCAACTGACAAAATGTATCAAAATAATAGGATAGTTTCCAACTAGTCAAATTCAATACTCAAATTCTATGAAATACTCGTACATAGCACGTTGTGACGACATATTTTTTACGTCAAATAGCATACTTATATTTTTTAATTATTAATGAAATACTAATAC